GAAAAGCGTGGTCCAGCGACTTGCTGTCTACAAGACAGCACGTGAGATCCCGAGAGGCGCCCGGGTGGAAGGCGAAAGGGCGGGAGAGGTGCTTTCTATGCAAATGCAACCGGGAGAGTGGAGGGGCAGCTCTCCTGACATCAGACCAGGGAGACTATAAATCAAAATGCTCGCAGAGACAAAGGAGGACGTTTCATGTGAGTCAAAAGTTCGATGAGGGAAAAGCGAGGATGTGTAAACATTCAGGCACCTTCGGACAGACCACCCAAAACCTATGAGGCAAAATGGATGGAGAAATGGAGAAACAGGAAGTTCTAGAATAACGGGGGGAGGGCTCGACACCCCACTCTCAATGTTGGGCAGAACAACCAGACAGAATAAGCAGGGAAACCGAGGACTCGAACAACCCAACAAACCACTGGGATCTCACAGACAGTTACAGAGCCTGCTACCCAACGACAGCAAAGCACCCGTGATTCTCGAGTCTCAGATATGCATGGGACAGTCCGCATGGTACACCAGGTGTCAGCCACAAATCAAGTTTCAACATTTAAAAACTTACATCCCACATGACGTATATGCTCTGACCGTAGCTGGCTAAAGTCAGAAATCACTGAGAGGAGGAAAGTGGGAAAATTCACACACGTGTGGAAGTGACACACTACAGTTGGGCCCCTGGTGGTCCAAGGAAAAAGTCACAGCAGTGCAGGAAAGAGGTGAAGATGGGCGAAGGCAGAAATGCAGCACATTGGACTGTGGGATGCAGTGAGGGCGGTGCTGAGCAGAACATTTGTCGCTGTAACTTCCCATCAAAGAAAGCGAGAAATGTTTCAAGTCAACAACCCCACTTGACAACATAAGGAAGTAGGAAAAAACAACTAAACCCAAAGCCAGCAGGAGGAAGGACATAGGAAAGACTAGAGCAGAGGTAAATGACACGGAGAACAGGAAAACAATATAGAAAATTACTGAAACCAAAAGTTGGTTCTTTGAAAAGATAGACGAAGTTGACACACCTCTAGCTGCATGAACCACAACGGGGAAGAGAAGACTCCAATTACTAAATCAGAGGTGGAAGTGGGGACAGCCAATTCTCTGGAAACGCAGCACTGCAAGAGAGTAATGCGAACAATTGTTACATCAACAGATTGTATCGCCTCGACAGACTCCTAGGAACACAGAAGCTACCAAGGCTACATCACGAACAGATAGACAAGCTGAATGGACCTATGAGTAGTAAGGGGGCTGAAACAGTAATAAAAAAAAATTCTGCAGGCGAAGAAAAGTTCTGCACCTGACAGCTCCACTGGTGGATTCTATCAAACATTTGAAGGAGAAGTGACACCAATACTCTGTAAACTCTCAGGAGAATTGAATGGGAGGGAACAGCTACTAATTCATTCTGTGAGACCCGCATTGCCCTGATAAAACTATAGACCAATATCCCTCATGAGCATCAATGCAAAAATCCTCAGCGAATTGCTAGCACATTGACTAAGTGTGATTTATTTCTAGGACACACACCTGTATTCAGAGAGGCGTGATGCAGAGCAACTACAACCCGAGGGCGCATAGACAGGTGAGTAGGTGAGCAAAGTGTGGCTTACACGTATTGTGGAATATTATTTAGGCTCAAAAGGAAGGAGGTTTCTGCAACACACTGCAACACGGATGGGCCTGGAGGAGGACATTGTGCCGAGTGAAATAAGCACATCACAGAAGGACAAGTACTATGTGATTCACTTATGCCGGATTTCTTACATGATTCCCAAATCATCGAGACAGAATGTATAATGATGAGCGCCAGGAGTTGGAGGCTGGGGAGTTACAGTTTAATGAGTGTAGAATTTCTTTTCCTTTTTAAAAAAAGATTTTATTTGTTTATTTTTAGAGAGTGGGGAAAGGAGGGAGAAAGAGAGGGCGAGAACCATCAATGTGTGGTCTCCTCTCACGCACCGTGCACCGGGGACCTGGCCCACAACCCAGACATGGGCCCTGACTGGGAACCGAACTGGCAACACTTTTGTTTGCAGGCTGGTGCTCCATCCACTGAGCCACACCAGTCAGGGCTGAGGATAGAATTTCTTGTTTTCAGGACGATCAAAGGTATGGGATGGTGGTGCCAGTGGGCACACAACAATGTGCATGTATTTAATACCCTGAACCGGACACTTGGAAATGGTCAAGGTGGTAAATGTCATGTTTCATGTGTTTTCCACACACTCACACGAAATATCTGCACAAAGAGCAGGCTTTGTCAGGGGTTTGGGAGAGGGAGGGATGCAGAGAGGGAGTAGAGGGAATTTGGGTGTAGAGAGGCTATTCTGTGCAATATTATAATGGCAGATACATGTCATTCCGTATTTGTCAAATCCTGTAAAATGTACAACACAAGAGACTGAGCTCTGACGTAAATTATTAACTCCAGTTAGTAAAGTGTTAGTACTGGCCCATCGATTGCAGCATATGTGCCAAGCTGTTTCAACAGGGAAACTGGTGGAGGATGAAGGGATATCGGAACTCTTCTCCCTTCTGCTCAGTTTTTCTGTAAACATAAGACTAGTAAGTCTATTCAAATTAAGTCTATTAAGAAAAAAAAGGCTTCACATTGGCCAGAACCAGATTGTGGGCCACCATGAGTTGTGACAGAGGCTGGGAGCCCAGGAAGCAGGATCTCTCGCCTTGGTTGTGGACGCAGTCCCCTCACTTAGTCCGGGCCCAGCGGTCAGAGACCGGAAGGTGCCACTGGGGGCCCAGATTCCACAGTCTGCTCACCCCCACGAGCCAGAGGCCACATAGACATCTTCCCCCCAAACCCCCGCCCAGTGCTGGGTGGAGTATTGCACAGGCACCCAGTCCTGTGCTGTGGCCCCTGCCCATGACTGGCTGGTGACTGGCCGAGCAACACCGCCTTGCCCCTCACTCAGCCAGGATGCACAGGCTGATGCTCCCAGAAGCCACGCAGCCAGCCCAAAAGCTCCTGCACCTGCCTGCCACCGGTCCACATGGGGCTTCCCTGAGCCTCCAACCAGTCTGACCCCTGCAGGTTCCTGGATGGCCCCTTCCCACCACTTCCTGAACTTGGTGGCTGGGTTCAGGGCCGGTTCCCTCTCTGGGCCTCTCCATGCAGTGCCCTTCTCCAGTTAAGAAATTTGTAAAGTCTGACAGCAGACCTAACACGCAGAGCGGGTCGGCTGGCCATAGGAAGAGTCTCGCCCCTCAGGGAGTCAGCATGCAAGAATCTGGCAGGTCCTTCCCCAGACATCCTGAACCGCCTGCCAGAGCTGCTGAACTGTGCACTTGGGATCGTAAACATGCCACTCTGACACTCTAATCTCATCTCTAGGATCTGGGTTTAAGGAAATAAATGCAAACTGGGGAACTACAGGTAGGCACAAAGACGCCAAAAACTTACTCATCATGAGATATGAGAACCAGCCAGCCAAGAAGACCTGTGGGCCAGTAGAACATAGCCCGGTGATGAGTGTGCTGATGAGGGCATGGCAGGAGTGTGGGGGGTTTGAGTAAAAGTCAGGGAGAAGTGGGACAATAGTGTGCCTGTGCCAAGCTCTCACCGTGAGCCGGTGCCCTCCGCAGCCTCACAGGTGCTGCGTGCAAAGAGAGCCACCATGGTAGATTGTAGTTGTCTCACAGGGGTCCCCAAAAGCTCATGCTGGACTCTGTTGCCATGGGCTCCCCAGGGCCACCCTGAGTTGGCAGTGGGGGCTGGGCCGGCAGCTCTACAGGGGCCACAGGAGCCTGGGGCTGAAGCTGCCCAAGTGTCCTCAACCAGCACCCACATTCTGTTCCGGCCACACCCCCACTGTCTCCCAAGGTCCCCGGTGAGCCCTCTCTCAAATGCACCCTGGTTGGCTTCCTGCCATCACCTGGAATCCCTGCTGCTGGGGGAGGCACCCGAGAGGAAGAGAGAGACCCAGGGTGGGTGGGGGCCAGCCCGGATGTGGGGATGGGGGTGACTGGCCCCAGGCTGCTGCAGCTCCTCTCGAGAATCAGGCTGAGGGGCCATCCTGAGCCTGCCCTGCCACCCCTCATGTTCTGGTCCCCTTCCCCGCCTCTGTCTTCCCAGATGTGTGGTTGGTGACGCCCCGGGTCAGGCCAGGGTCCATGACACAGGCTGGGGAGGCAGGAAGTCTCTCCCTTTAGCTGACCACAGCTGATATCTGCATCAGAGATGTCCCTGCAGCTGCCCTTATCAGCTCCACCTTGGGATTTGGGCCAAGGTCAGGCCCATCCTGGAGATAGGGAGATCTCTATCAGGAGGGAGCAGGTGGCGAATGCTGAGCACCTGGGCTGTGGTGAGGTGGGGTACTGCTAGGGGCTCCGAGCCACAGCCTGGCCCTCCAGCGTTGGGGAGACTGGAGACAGGGGAGCAGAGGGCCACAGCTCTCCCCTCGGGGCCTCTGGGCACTCAGTCCCCAGCAAGCTGGCCTTCCTCTGCCACCCAGAGTTGTTACTATGTAACACCACGGCTGAAGTGTCCCCTCTGTTATCAGACTGTTAATATTAATTAACAACGGTTGCTAAGGATGACAGCACAAGGGTGTGTCCCAGCCAGAACTGGCCTGGACCCAAGAGGGGGCTGGGGACAGTGGGCGTCTGAGACCAGGTGGGGTGGGGGCCGATTGGAGGGGTGAGTGGAGGTTTGCAGGACCACACTGAGCATCACCCCCCTGCCCCCCCCCCCCGCCGCTGCCCACCCTCTTCCCCCCTTCCCCCAGCCAGCAAGCCCTGGAGCAGAGGCCAGGTGAGTGCTGGGCTGTGGCAGGTTTCCAGCTAGCTCAGCCCTCTCTCTGCTCAAGTTGCTTTGGGAAGTGGATGTTGGGGAGACCCCGCACTTCCACCATCATCGTCATGGATGCTCATCAGAGAGTGTGGGGCCACAGCAGGGAGGGGCGAGCAGGTAGATCATTAACTAGTGGGAGCCCTGGGAGGTGCAGGGCTCATCTGATTGGTCCCCAACCCAATCAGGCCAGGTTGTCTCTGGCAGGGTGTCCGCCTTGCGGTGTGTCCCCTGGCCCCAGCCCTTAGCTTCGTCTGACTGTGGCCTGGCCCCACTTTCCTCAAATCCCTTCCTGGCGCTGGCATGGCCAAGGCCGTCCTGAAGGGCTGGCTGCTCTGGGCCCTGCTCCTGCCGTCGGTGAGTTCGAAGTCTGTGTCCTATCCTCTATGCCTCCCATTAGGGGTCCCAGGCAGGGCGCTTCTTAGTGACAGTGAGGGAGGGCCCAGGTTTCAGGGGCTGGACTTTGGATAGTTGGGGGATCCCAGGCGCCCTAGAGGAGTGATGTGGGTGGGGTGGTATGGGCTGCCCAAGCCTTCAGGTCATGGGGTTGGATGGGCACAGGGCTGGGGCAGAGGTGGTTGGACAGTGTGTGACCAAGGGTCTCCCCCCCCAATTGGCCTCAGATGCCCTGGCTTGTGGTGGCTGGTCGGGTGGCTTCTGAGCCATGGGTTTAACATCTGGGTTTGGGAGTAGGTCATTTTTCTCACTCACTTGTGGGTCTGGGAGGGTGGGCAAAGGCTGTTGGGCCAGCAGGGGAGGGCAGGGGAGGCTGTGCATAGAAGCTCCCCGGGGTCCCTGGCCTCTGGCTGTGGCCTGCAGCTGGGGCACCTTGGCACCAGTGGTGATGGTGATGATGCCCTGTGGGGAGTGGCTGGCACTGACTCAGCCCCCGGAGTGGCCTCCAAGGGCCTCCCCACCTGTTGTCTCCTTACCCGCCTCACTCAGTGCAGATCTGTTGGGTCACCTCCCTCTTGTCAGTGACCTGGTCACTCAGGATAAGTCCTGGCTGCGCCTGTGCACAGTGCCCCCGACACCACACCTCCCCCAACCCCCGGTGGTGTGCTGCCGCCCTGCATCCCTCCTCTCCCTGAGCCTCCCTGGCTGTCCTGGCCACTGGCACCAGGCCACGCTGAGGCTTCCCTGCTCTACAGGCCCGGGCCCAGCTGTACACACCCACACACCAGCACGGCTACTGTGCCTTCTATGATGAGTGTGGGAAGAACCCTGAGCTCTCCGGCAGCCTGGCCTCGCTGTCCAATGTGTCCTGCCTGTCCAACACACCTGCCCGCCCCATCAACGGCAGCCACCTGGCCCTCCTGCAGCGCATTTGTCCCCGCCTCTACTCTGGCCCCAACACCACCTATGCCTGCTGCTCCCAGAAGCAGCTGGTGTCCCTGGAGGCCAGCATGGCCATCACCAAGGCCCTGCTGACCCGCTGCCCAGCCTGCTCGGACAACTTCGTGAGCCTGCACTGCCACAACACCTGCAGCCCCAACCAGAGCGTCTTTGTGAACGTGACGCGTGTGGTTCTGCGGGAGGATGGCCAGCCCCCGGCCGTGGTAGCCTATGAAGCCTTCTACCAGCGCAGCTTCGCTGAACAGGCCTACGACTCCTGCAGCCAGGTGCGCATCCCAGCAGCCGCCACGCTGGCCGTGGGCGCCATGTGTGGCGTCTATGGCTCCGCCCTCTGCAATGCCCAGCGCTGGCTCAATTACCAGGGGGACACGGGGAATGGTCTGGCGCCGCTGGACATCACCTTCTACCTATGGGAGCCCGGCCAAGCCACAGTGAGTGGTATTCAGCCCCTGAATGGGGAGATCACTCCCTGCAACCAGTCCGAGGGCAACGGCACAACCGCCTGCTCCTGCCAGGACTGCGCCGCATCTTGCCCGGCCATCGCCCAGCCCAAGGCCCTGGATGCGACCTTCCGCCTGGGCCGCATTGACGGCGGGCTGGCCCTGATCATCATCCTGTGCTCTGTCCTTGCTGTGCTCACTGCCTTCCTCACGGCACCCCGCCTACGTCCCTGCAGGAAAATGGGGAGGATGCCAGACCCCAAAGCCAGCCCCAGCTTCTCCAACAGGCTCAGCCTCTCCACGCACACCCTGCTCAACCGGGGCTTCCAGGGCTGGGGCACGTGGGTGGCCTCGTGGCCCCTGACAGTCCTGCTGGTGTCCACTGCCATGGTGGCAGCTTTGGCTGGGGGGCTGGCCTTTATGAAACTGACCACGGACCCCGTGCAGTTGTGGTCAGCCCCCAACAGCCAGGCCCGGAGGGAGAAGGAGTTCCATGACCAGCACTTCGGCCCCTTCTTCCGGACAAACCAGGTGATACTGACGGCACCTCACCGGCCCAGCTACAGGTACGACTCCCTGCTGCTGGGGCCCAAGAACTTCAGCGGGGTGCTGGACACTGACTTGCTGCAGGAGCTGCTGGTGCTGCAGGAGAGGCTGCGGCACCTGCAGGTGTGGTCGCCCGAGGAGCAGCGCAACATCTCCCTGCAGGACATCTGCTATGCCCCTCTCAACCCGAGCAATGCCAGCCTCTCCGACTGCTGCGTCAACAGCCTCCTGCAGTATTTCCAGAGCAACCTCACGAGGCTGCTGCTCACTGCCAACCAGACACTCACAGGGCAGATCTCCCAGGTGGACTGGCGGGACCACTTCCTCTACTGTGCCAAGTGAGTCCTGGACACTGGCTCCAGGCAGGTGCTGGGGCGGCCAGGCACCGCCATGGGGCATCCCCACATGGCTCCGTGCCTGGGCCTCGGGGACTGCAGTGCCCCCTGGTGGGGCTCCTGTGTGGGGGGGCAGATCTGTGCATGGTCTTCACTGCCTTTTTGCCGAGTGCCTGACGGAGCAGGGCGCATCCTAGGTTTGCCTGTCTGGTGCTGGGTTCCGGCATTGGGGTCTGCGCAGCCAGGGTGCTAGCCTCACACCATATCGGGGAAGGGAAGAGTGTTGAGCAGCCTTCCTAGATAATCGTGTGTTCTCAGCATGTGGTCCTTTCCTAACTGTTAGCTGCCATGGGGTACAGGAGCCACATCTGTGGCCTGTTTGTTCTTCACACACGCAAGAGCGAGAGGGTAAAAACCCGCATTGCGTGGAAACAGTCCTGACCTTGCAGCTGCTCGGAAGCCTGGGTTGGAGGGCAAGCCTCACTGGGGCTGCTTTCCAGGGTCTGTGCTGGACCCTGGGTGCCTCAGAGCCGCAGGCTGGGGGGGCTTGGGCCTGGTCCCCAGTCCTCATATTGGCTTCATTTTGATTCTGGATGCTCATGACTACTTTTGGGGTCCATTATCCCCACTTTAAAGATGGAGACAGCGGCTCACGGGGGTGGGAGGTGTTGCTGCTCAAGGCCACAGGGCAACCCCGCTCCCAGTACTGCCAGTGACCAGTAGGCTCACTTGCCCCGAGCGCTTTGTCCAGGGCCTGCAGTGCTCTTGCTGTAAGGGCTCAGAAGGTGTGGAGACTGGCCCAAGGTCCCTGAGTCTGCAAACTGTCCCCCCAAAAGAAAGAGACACATTCCGGTCTCGAGGGCCCCAGGCGGGGTGGGGGGCAGGAGTTTCCAGGCAGTGCGAGGCCTCAGTGGCTCTGACCACGGTCCGGACTGGGGACTGCCTGGGCCCCACCCCAGGGCACCACGTGTGGGGCTCACCCTCCAGCCTTGCCCGTCAGGATTTGGTGACGATGGGGCCTGGAGGGCCCGGCCGGCTGTGGTGCCATGAGCTTGGGCAGCCCTGGTCCAAGGGGCCTGGTCCACGCTGCCTTGGTCTGTGTGAGATTTTGCCAAGAAGAGTGGCTCTGTCTGGGGTCAGGGGCTGGTGCAGGGCTATAACAGTCCTTCCTCTCCCTCCAGCGCCCCCCTCACCTTCAAAGACGGCACGGCCTTGGGCCTGAGCTGCATGGCCGACTATGGAGCCCCGGTATTCCCATTCCTCGCCGTGGGCGGCTACAAGGGTGAGCTGGGCAGCCCTGGGGAAACCACCAGGGCCACCAGGGGGCAGGAGCCAGAGCGGTGATGGGCAGCCATGCTGGTGGGGGCAGGGTGACACCATAGACCTGCCTGTCCTTGATGCCTCCCTCCCTGCGCCGCTCAGATCCCCTGGTTTTGTGCCTGTGGCCCCATGAGGGACGCAGGGTCGGCCTCAGACAGTGATGCAGATAAGGATGATGAGGGGGGGTGTTGGGGAGGCCATAGGGGCCAGAGGCTAAGCTTTTCTCCCCACAGGGAAGGACTACTCTGAGGCAGAGGCTCTGATCTTGACCTTCTCCCTCAACAACTACCTTCCCGGGGACCCCCGGCTGGCTCAGGCCAAGCTCTGGGAGGCGGGTTTCTTGGAGGAGATGCAAGCCTTCCAGCAGCAAATGGCTGGCATATTCCAAGTCACATTCATGGCGGAGGTAGGGGCTGTGGGGTCCACGGCTCCAGGACACCCTAGGTGGCTTGGGGTGGGTGCCTGAGGCCCCGTCCTTGGTGACCCTGGGCTGGGATCACGCTCTCCAGAGGACAGGGGGCATGAATGCTGCCCAGCGGGGCCCATGGCCATTAAGGGTCAGTGGCAGGTGGGGTGTGTCCACAGCGCTCCCTGGAGGACGAGATCAGCCGGACCACGGCCGAGGACCTGCCCATCTTCGCCATCAGTTACCTGGTCATCTTTCTGTACATTGCCCTGGCTCTGGGCAGCTACACCAGCTGGAGCCGCTTATTGGTGAGGAGGGGGAGGGACGGGGGGAGGGGCATCCAGAATCTCCCCAACCGGAGTTCCTGGCTACAGAGGTCCCCAGCGCTGACACCTTGCACTGCCCCCTGACAGACCTCACTCTGATGTGCAAACCTAGAGCATAGGGTCTGGCGGGATGCAGCCCCCTCCAGCGCCATGTCTGCAGGCTGAGCCCATGCCATTGCAGGTGGATGCCAAGGTCACGCTGGGCCTGGGCGGGGTGGCCGTGGTGCTAGGAGCCGTCCTGGCCTCTATAGGCCTCTTCTCCTACGCGGGCGTCCCCACCTCAGTGGTGGTCCTTCAGGTGGTGCCTTTCCTGGTGCTGGCTGTGGGCGCCGACAACGTCTTCATCTTCGTTCTGGAGCACCAGGTGGGTGGGTGCTGGCCTGCACCTGGCGCCCCGTCTCAGACGCCCCCACGGGAGTTTCCTGGGCTCCCTGCCCAAGGCCTGCCTCTCCACCTCTGTGGCCACCTTGCATCTTTCTGCTGCCATGTGGCATTCCAGGGAGGGATGGGTCAGAGTTGGTTAGTCTCTGCTGTTGGTGGACACAGAGGGGACAGTGGTTGTTGCAGCACAGGACACCCTGAAGCAGGCCCAGCCTCAGTGTGTGCCTGACTCAGAGGAGGGGAGGGCTGACCTGGTCCTGGGGCTTGGCTGGTCCTGGACCCTGTCCCTGCTGTCCCCCCTCTCCCTCCAGAGGGTGCCTCGGAACCCTGAGGAGGGTCTGGAGGCCCACATCGGCCGGGTGCTGGGCAGTGTGGGGCCCAGCATGCTGCTCTGCAGTGTCTCCGAGGCCATCTGCTTCTTTCTGGGTAAGTCTGGGCGAGGACTCCGTGGAGCTCGGGGAGCAGGCAGCTCCCTCCTTCAGCTCCTATGTGCGCAGGACCCCTGCCCTGAGCGCCACCTCTGTCCCCCAGGTGCCCTGACCCCCATGCCCGCGGTGCAGACCTTTGCACTGACCTCCGGCCTTGCAGTGATCCTGGACTTCCTGCTGCAGATGTCGGCGTTCGTGGCCCTGGTGGCCCTTGACGCCAGGAGGCAGGAGGTCAGGGACCCGGCTGGCCCCATGTTGGCTGGGATGGGGTGAGGAAGCCTCACTCTGCAGAGAAGGCTCAGAATGGTCTTGGGGCAGGAACACTGGGTGGGGACATTTGGACCACGTAGTTCCCAAACAGAAAAGTAATTTTGCTCTAGTCATTTGGGGGAATGGATCAGACTTCCTAACACACATGAGGTCTTGAAATATACGGTGAGTCAGAGGTTGACAGCACAGAATTCAAAGGGGCGGTATCAGGTAGAAGCCGCATGCTGGGTGGTGTCCCGGTGCCCGGGAGATGGGGAGGTGGTTTCCAGGGTCTACTCTGGGGTCACCTGGAGGGTCTGCTCCTCCAGACCTCCCGGCTGGACGGCTGCTGCTGCATCCGCGCCAAGACGCCACCCCCGCCCTACCCGAACGAGGGGCTTCTCCTCCGATTCTTCCAAAAGGTCTATGCCCCGTTCCTGCTGCACCAGGTCACCCGAGTGGTTGTGGTGAGTGGGGTGGGAGGGGCAGCTGGGGCCCTCCCAACGCTGGGGGTAGGAGGGGGCTGCTCAGCTTGACCTTCCCTTCCCAGTCCTCTGTGGTCCTAAGCTCACCCAGGATCTGGTGCTGAAGCCCAGGGTCAGGGGGTGGCAGGTTTTGTGGATTTAAGTCCAACTCCACAGTGTTTCAGAGAACAGCCGACCAGAAGCAGGTCAGGGAAGAGCCGGGGACCCCTGTGAGGCCAGACTCTCACGTGGGGCTCCCTCCTCAGCTGCTGCTGTCGCTGGCCCTGTTTGGGGCGTGTCTGTACTTCATGTGCCACATCAGTGTGGGGCTGGACCAAGAGCTGGCCCTGCCCAAGGTGAGCTGGGTGCTGTGTTCCTGGCCCTGTGGGTGGCATTAGGGTCTGCCGCACAGAGCGGGGGGGGGGATGGGGGTGGACAGCCTGGGCCAGGGGCAAGTGGGGGTGCTGGGCTTCTCCCTCCCTCGTGGGCCTGGAGAGAGAGGCTCATCCTGCAGAACTGACACTCTGTTCTCACTACCACGAACTCCCCATGCTCCCCTCCCCCAGTCCACACACCACCATTCAATTTTCCATCTCTGATTCCGACTCCACTAGGGACCCCATATCCATGGAATTATACTGTGCTTGTCCTTGTGACCGGCTTATTTCTCTCTGCATAATGTCCTCAAGGCTCATCCATGCTGTAGCAGGTGTCCACACTCCCTCCCTTGTGAGGTTGAGTACTGTTTGTGTATCTATGAACACACACATACGTGTATTTCATTCCTTCAACTACGGATGGACACTGGGTTGTCTCCATGTTGTAGCTGCTGTGAACCCAGGTGCACAGATACCCCTTGGGAAGCCTGCTTTCCGTTTTTTGGGTCAATACCTGGAAGTAGAATCTCTGGATGCTGTGGTGCAGCATCTCAGTGGATGCTGTGGTGCAGTGGCCCTGTTTCTGAGGACCCTCCGTGTTGCTCCCACAGTGGTTGTGGCAACTTCTTTCCCGCCGACAGTGCACAAGGATTCTAATTTCGCCACATCCTGGCCAACGCTTACTGTTTTCGGGGGTTTTTCTTTTATTTATTTTTATTTTTTTAAATCTTCACTGAAGGGTATGTTTTAATGATTTTATAGAGAGGAAGGTGGGGGGAGAGAAGGAGAGAGAATGGAACATTAATTGGTTGCCTCCTGTACGTGTCCCAGATGGGATCAAACCCACAACCCAGGCATGTGTCCTGATTGGGAATTGATCTGGCGACTCTTTGGTTCCCAGGCCGGTGCTCAGTCTTCTGAGCCGCACTAGCCAGGGCTTATGTATCTTTTTGGAGAAATGTCTATATAAGTCTTTTGCCTGTTTTCGAATCACATTCGATTTCCCTTTCAAAGTATCCACTGTTCATGTATACACATGCAGCTGATTTTCTTTCCTGCAATCTCACTGAAGTTATTTATTAGTTCTGACTGTTTGTTAGTGGAATTTTATTTTATTTTCTTGCATTTTTTAATGTGTGCATGACTGTGTAATCTATGAACAGAGACTATTTTAGTCGCTCCTCTCCAGCGTGGATGCCTTCTATTCCTTTTTCCTGCCCGTTTGGTCTGCAGCCCCTCGTAGTCAGTGGAGTGGGCGTGGCGAGAGCCCACGCCTGTTCTGATCAGAGAGGAAGCGCTTTCTGCCTTGAGTGTGACATTGCTGCTGGGATTTTCATTTATGGCCTTTATCGTGCTGAGATACTTTCCTGCATTCCTACTTTTCTGAGTTTGATTGTTTTTTTATCATGAAAGGACATGGGATTTCGTGAAAAGTTTTATCTGTGGCAATTGGGATGATCATCTGATTTTATTTCCATTCTTTATTTTTTAATTTGAGAACCACTACTTTAAAAAATAATTTTGTTTATTTATTCCTAGAGAGAGGGGAAGGGAGGGAGAAAGAGACAGAGAGATGTATTGATCGGTTGCCTCTCACGCCGCCAACTGGGGACCTGGCCTGTACCCCAGCCCTGTGCCCTGACTGGGGAAGGCACTTCTGGCTTGCAGGACAGCTCTCAGCCCCCTGAGCCGCACCAGCCAGGGCCTGTCCATCCTGTTCGTGTTGGGCGGCGCACTGACTGATTGTCCCATGTTGAGCTGTCCTTGCCTTCTAGAAACTTCTCCCCCTGGGTCATGGTACAGCACCCTTTTAATATCTAATCCCTGACTTATGATTGTCCAGCTTGTGATCATTCAACTTTACCGTGGTGTGAAAGTGACAGGCATCCAAGCAGAAATCGTATATCAGACTTTGAATTTTGATGTGTTCCTGGGCTGGTGATGCACCCCCAGCGAAGCATGTGACCCTCGGCAAACGCCTGACACTCTGCCGGGCACTGTGTCACCGGTCCTTGTTCTGGGTCTTGTGTGTGAGCAGGTTTGAGGTTGGCAGGTTGCGCCACAGGGTCCGTGGGCAGGTGTATTGCATGCATTTCTAATTTATGATAGTTTCAACCCAGGATGGGTTTACTGGGACGTAACCCATTGTGAGTTGGGGAGCACCTATACCAGCGAGGTACAGAGGAGTTTTGCATCCAGGTTCATTTAGGAGATTGGTCGGCAGTTTCTCTTGTAGTTAGTATCTTTGTCTGGCTTCAGTATCACGGCAAAGCTGGCCTTGAAAAATGAGTTAAAAGTGAGTCTAAAAATTGTGTTCAATTTTTAGAGGAGTTTGAGGAGTTAACTGCATGGTGGAATTCACCAGGAAAGCCAGCTATGGTCAGAGCATATACGTCATCTGGGATGTAAGTTTTTAAATGTTGAAACTTGATTTGTGGCTGACACCTGGTGTACCATTCGGACTGTCCCATGCATATCTGAGACTCGAGAATCACGGGTGCTTTGCTGTCGTTGGGTAGCAGGCTCTGTAACTGTCTGTGAGATCCCAGTGGTTTGTTGGGTTGTTCGAGTCCTCGGTTTCCCTGCTTATTCTGTCTGGTTGTTCTGCCCAACATTGAGAGTGGGGTGTCGAGCCCTCCCCCCGTTATTCTAGAACTTCCTGTTTCTCCATTTCTCCATCCATTTTGCCTCATAGGTTTTGGGTGGTCTGTCCGCAGGTGCCTGAATGTTTACACATCCTCGCTTTTCCCTCATCGAACTTTTGACTCACATGAAACGTCCTCCTTTGTCTCTGCGAGCATTTTGATTTATAGTCTCCCTGGTCTGATGTCAGGAGAGCCGCCCCTCCACTCTCCCGGTTGCATTTGCATAGAAAGCACCTCTCCCACCCTTTCACCTTCCACCCGGGCGCCTCTCGGGATCTCACGTGCTGTCTTGTAGACAGCAAGTCACTGGACCACGCTTTTCAGTCCATTGTGCCAATCTCAGGCTTTCGACTGGAGAGACCAACCTACTTACATTTAAAGTAATTGCTGGTAAGGAGTTACTATTTGTTCTCTGTATGCCTTAGAGCGCTTTTTGTCTCGTGTCCTATGTTAGTCTTCTCTTGTGTTTGGTTGATTTTTATTAGGAAAACCTTGAAACTCCCTTCTCATTTCCTTTGGTGCTATTTTCTGTGGCTATTGTCTTTGTGCTTCTCATGGGCATTACATTGAACATCCTCAACTCTTAACACTCTAATTTGAATTTATTGCAGTTTAGCTTCAATAACATACAAAACTCTGCTCCTTTACAGTGCTGTCTCCACCCCTTTCAATGCCCCACATTTACATTTTTATATATTGTGTGCCCCAAAACAGACTAGTAATTTTATGTAATGGCAGAGTTACAGGTTAAAGTTATAACAATACTAGAATTTGTAAGTGCTCATGTGCCATCGACTCTTTTTTTTATATAGATTTTATTTATTTATTCAGAGAGAGAGAGAAGAAGGGAAGGAGAAAGAAAAGGAGAGAAACATCAGTGTGTGTTTGCCCACAATGCAGGCATGTGCCCTGACTGGGAATCCAACCAGCATCCCTTTGGTTTACAGGCCAGTGCTTAATCCACTGAGCCACACCAGCCAGGGTGCACTTGATTCATGAACAACATGAGTTTGAATTGAATGGGTCCTCTCATATGTAGATTATTTTCAATATATATTAGAAAATTATTCTGAGATTTGTGATGATTTGAAAAAACTCACAGATGAACTGTGTTGCCTAAAAATATCAGAAAAAATATAAGAAAAATAAAGTAGGTAATGAATCACAAAATCCATGTAGATATGAGTTTGTTTTACCATTTATGACCACAAAACATAGACAGGTTTGTTATAAAGAGCTAAAGCCCATCAACTGCTGTGGCCACAAGCCTGGACAGCCAGCGAGGCCATCAGGGGAGGAGAGGAGCATTAGCCGGCGTCACCTTGCCATGTTGAACCCTAACCCATCTGATCGTCTGGGCTTGTGCTCTGTGCTGCTGGCGCGATCTTGTGGCCCCTCCTGGGGCCGTGCAGTGGGCTCGAGCGTCTTGAGGGTCTGCGGAGGATGTGTGCAGCACGGTTTGTGCCTCAGCAAACTGCATTACAGCGGAAGGTGCTGCTCTCGTGGGTCCTTCCTCACATTCAGTGCCACACCCTGGATGCCAAATGAGTGCACCAGGGACCAGGGGAAGTGCTCCCGGGAAGCAGAGGGAGGTCTTGGCATCAGAGGGAAAAGCTGGGCCATGTGGCAGGCACCACAGACTGCGGCCAGCAGTGGGGCTTGGATGCCGTTTCATGAGTCCGGTGGAAGGACCACTGCGAACGAAAAAGAGGAATTCGTGGAGTCCTGGCTGCAGCTGCACCAGCAGCACAAGCCCCTCTTGGTTTTTGTGAGCTAGGTTTTCATCTCGTCTGGAGACACAGTTTTTCTGTGGGGGCAGGGCTGCTGCGGGAAGGCGTCCCCACAGACCCTGATGGGATTCCCGAGAGCAGCGTCATCCTAGGACGAAGCAGAAGGCGAAGGATCTAAAACTGGAGAACTTAAGGGTAGCATGGGATGGCCTGATCATTTTACAAAGAGCTTTGGCTTCATAAATGTCGAGTAACAGAAGCAGCAGCTTCTGCCGACCAGCTCCTACATGCCATTGAGGAAATCACTGGAGAGAAAGGAGGTTGGCTGAAGGACTCTGCAAGGCCAATGAAAGTGCCCAGCTCTGGGGACACAGAGCCACAGAGGACACTCGTCAGTAAGGAGGGGAGGGGGCCCAGGAGCGGAGGGAGGAAGGCTGGGCTAGCTCTGCTGTCTTCTGCACAAGCAGCCTGGTTTGTGGTTGGAACTGCCCTTTTCTCTGACGCTGCTCGCCTGGAACCAAGCCTGGGAGGGGAGACCAACACCAGCTCCCAGGCTTCAGTCCAATGAGGAGAAGGCCTCGTCCACAGGAGCCCATTTCTGGTTCCATCCGCACGTTGCCCCTGAAATTGGGAAGTACCTGGCTGCCTTGAGAAGTTGTTTTGATATTAGACAATGTCCCTGGCCACCCAGCACCCCATGAATTCAATAGGCATCAAAGTGGTGACTTGCCTCATGCACATCTCTAATTCAGCCTTTGGATCTGGGGTCTGAGGACCCTAGGGCTCCCCCTACGTGATCTCTGTGGGGAGGACGGACAGTGCTGTGGGAGGGAGCCCCACATAGCACATCGGAGAGTCTGGAAGGGCCATACCACTGCAGATGCATCACCGTTACAGAAAACACTGTGAAAGCCACCAAGCCCAACACAGTGAGTCCCTGCTGGAGAAACCCTGTCCCAATGCCGCCAATGACTCCCAGGACTGATGGCAGAGCTGACCAGGGGTCCTGCCAGGGACGGTGGGCACAGCACAAAGGGGGGGTGTCAGTGAAAGTTGTCAGACTAAACATATAGCAGAAACTCAAGAGCTAGCAGGACCCCGCTGCAGGGGCCTGATTCATGGTGCCGGACAGAGGTGAGCACTCTGACCACTCCAGGCGGTTCAACTCCTTCCACAGAATGGGCCCTTCTAGAATGCAGGCAGCAGAACTCACACGGGCAGTGGAGGAGGGAACGCAACTGCACAGAAACAACTTCAGAGAAACCGGAAAGTGGAAAAGTCAGAAAGAGATGACGGCGCGATTCCATGCAGCCTCCCTCTCCGCCTCTGCAGTGTGAAGACCTTTACGATGAGCACCTTCTTCTCACTGAGCAGCGAGGAGTCATCTGCCACACAGCTGATGGGCTGTGTGTGTGTGAGAGGGTCTTCGTGTGGAAACTGGAAGCCATGGTGGCACTTGTGAGATTCCTTGTCTTATCACCACCGCCATCGTCGATGTGTAGGGCGTCACCTGCCAGACGCATTTGGAAGTGGGTGGCCCATCCATACGTAGGCATGAGATGAGTGACATGAGTGTGAATTAACGCTGTGTTTGTTTTCTTACTGTTTTATAACTTGACTTTCAAGGAATTACACTATTGTGCAGAATCTCTTTCATAGTTGGAGAAACTGACTCATAGCCCATTATCGTACATAAGTGGTTTTTAAAAAAATGTAACAGTGGCTCTGGCTGGTGTGGCTCAACGGATTGAGTGCCAGCCTGTGAACCAAAGGGTCAACAGTTCGATTCCCAGTCAGGGTATATGCTTGGGTTGTGGGGTGGGTCCCCAGTAGGGGGCGTGTGAGAGGCAACCACACAGTGGTGCTTCTCTCCCTCTCTTTCTTCTTTCCTTTCCCTCTCTCTGAAAATAAATAAAATATTTTAAAAATATCAGTTTCTAATAAAATATTACTTTAAAAAGTGTGACCATTGTGGGAGGGGGTGTGGGCAGGATGGAGGAGAGCAAAGGGGGGAAAATTGGGACAACTGTAATAGAATAAAAGAGAATTTTTACAAAACCCAAAAATGGCACCGTGTTTCCAATGCTGTATTATGAGTATGACTGTGACACTGAAGCCATAAAAATTTCATAACAACTCGGTGATGAGGGTGCAGGCTAGAGACCACACGCAGTCTCATGGATTACATAAGGCTGTCACAGTGTCACGGCTTTGGTATCGATGCCTGCGTCGAGACTCCTGTGAATAAGTACGAATTTCTTTTGCACATTTTCGTTGCTGATGTCTGGTGTTGGCAATACTGTAACATCTGCTGTGATTCGTGTTGTGTGTGGCAACCTTGATGCAGGTGCCGATGACTAGTAAACACACAACTTCCAGTGCCAGTGAGAGCGGCACAGAACCACAATGCATTTTCTCTTCCTGATGATGTTTCTTAATGACACTTTTTTTCCCTCTAACTTACTTTATTGTAGAATACAGTTATAATATACGTAACATACAAGATGTGTGTTAATTCACTCTTATGTTATCAGTAAGGCTTCTGGTGAACATTAGGCTACTAATAGTTATATTTGGGGGGTAGTCAAAAATTATAATGGGATTTTCATCTGGGTTGGGTCGGCACCCCTAACCTCTGCATATTCAAGGGTCAACTGCATTTACCTTTATCAGGGACTGTTATATCTTTATGTGGCTTTGAATTATATACTAGCATCCTTTTTCCCTTCAACCCTTTAGCATTCTTGCAGGGCAGGTCTTGTGGTAACAAATTCTTTCAACTTCTGTTGATCTAGGAATGTCCTAATTTGTCTCTCTTTTTTTGAAGAATGGTTTTGCCAGAAATGGGATTCTTGATTGACAGTTTTTCCCCTTCAGCACTTTGAATATACAAACCCACTGCCTTCTGGTCTCCGAGGTTCTTTTTGTTGGTTTATTTCTTTTCTTTTTTTTTAAAATTATTTTTGGTTTTTGATGTGATGAATCGCACTGATTTTTTTTGCTGGATATTGAGCCATTCTTGCATCAGTGGTAAAATTCACACTTGATCAGGGTATAAATAATTTAAAAATATTATTAAATTTGGTTTGCTACTGTTTTGTTGTGAATGTTTGCCTGGACACTTTTCAAGAATATAAGCCTGTAAGTCAGTGTCTGTCTGTCTCCATCTCTCTACCCCTCTTTGCAGTGTCTTGTGTAGTTTTACTCAAGAGTAATTACTGTCCCTGTAAATTAAATTAAATTTGGAGGTGCACTTCTTCAATTTATTATTTAAAAATAAGTGTTAGAATCCCCCTATAAATCTATCTAGTCCTGAGTGTTTTTCCTTGGGTGTTGTGATTATTGCTTCAAATTTGTTGCAGTCTTCAAGGTTTCTCATGAAAAATATGTTTATAGTCTTATTGGGGTCACATCCTTGTGTGTGAAGAGTCTTTTTTATCTTGTTGCTTTCAAAATTCTCTCTTTGTCTTTCAACATTTGGATTGTAGCGTGCCTTGGTGTGGGTCTCCTGGAGTTTGTTAAGCTTCTTGGATGTTTATTTCATATCTGTCATCAAATTCGGGAAATTTTAACCACTATTTCTGCACATCAATTCTCGGTTTCCTTTTTCCTCTCCGTTGTGCTTCTGGGATTCCCATGATGCAAATGTTGGCCAGCCTGACCGTGTCCCACAGGTCCCTTAGAACCTGTTCACGGTCCTTTCTGTTCCTGACCTGATCGTTTCAATTATCCTATCTTTGTGTTTGTTAATTTTTCTTCTGATTGCTCAAAGATGCTTTTGAATCCATACAGTAAATGTTTCATTAGTTATTGTACTTTTTCAAATTTCTTTTTGCCTCTGTTTTATGTTTTCTATTTATTGATCTTTCCACTTTATTCAGCACTTTTTTTCCTTGGACCATCTCAGAGCCTCTCTAAGCTCTGAGACTTCTTAGAAAATTCTAAGGAGTCTTCTTGTTGGAAAGCCTGTAATTCATGCACCAGGCCATCATTCTCAGGGGCGGGATCCCTGGCTGATTTTCGTTCCTAGGTGTGGGCCGTGCGTTTCTGATCGTTTGTCTGTCTTGTGGCTTTTGTTGTTGCTGTTGTTGGAAAGTGGACATCTGAGTCTTACTGTGTGCTAATTGTAGAGATCATGTTCTCCCCTTCCCTTGGGTTTGCTTTATTTTTCTTTTAATTTGATTGTTGCTGGTGTCTTTGGACTGGAAATTAGCCACAGGTGTAAAGTTAAAGTCTTATCAAGTCTTTCTTTTTAAAAATAGATTTTGAGAGAGGAAGGAGGGAGAGAGAGAGAAACATCAATTGTTTGCCTCTTGTGTGCACCCCAACTGGGGATCAAACCTGTAACCTAGGTATGTCTCCTGACCAGGAGTCAAACTCAATGTTTTGGTGTGCGGGATGGTGCTCCAACCAACTGAGCCTCCTGGCCAGGGCTCACCAAACCTTTTCTGAGCCTTGCCTTTTCCTGGGCTTTCATAGTGATGGTCTAAATTCCCACATATTTGTAGTTGTTTTTAATTCCTATATCTTAACATGTCTGGTTCCCAAAAGGAGAAAAAGGGAAAAAAACAGTAAATCGGGCACTTGCCATTTTAATATTTTTAAAAGTCACTTCAGCCTGAGGTGGTGGAAGTCATGATGGCAACCAGAACCACTGAGATCAGATGCAGCGACCGATGATCAGAGCACAGACTTCTGATAGTTGGGGGCGGGGTCCTCACAGTCCAGCCTGGATCCTGCCAGCAGTGTGCAGCCTGCCCCTGGGAGGTGTGCATGCTGCCCTCCCCAGGGTCTGGAGGGCAATGGATAGGTTGCTGCAGCCACGCCAACAGCTGAAATTGATCCAAATTAACCACAATTTACCCGCCAAGTTGTTCTTGGGGTTTCAGGCCCCTGGTAGCACCCAGAGTTCCAAACCAATCCTACGAGACAGGTTCTGCCAGTGCAGTGGCTGTCCAGTGGGTGGGTGGGGGGCTCGGTGCCTCCTGCTCCACCTTCTCCCCTGATGTCCTTCTGAGGTTTTCGCTGTTGGAAAAGGAACAGGCCACGAAGGTACCTGGCACAGGTACCCCAGGGGGTGATAGGGATGTTTGCCTGTGCCTGTGATCTGTGTCACACACCAGCCTGTGAAACTGTGGCTGTGCCAGATAGGGCTGATGAAGGCTAAGTGGCAGGCATAGGCGTGTCTGTGTGTACGCCAGAGTGTGTTCAAGTGGACTGCAGTCTGCACTCTGTGCTCTCGCCTCCCTGAGTGTATTCTGCGAGTGCAGCTGTGATTACACCCGGGTGTGTGCACCCCTGTGGGAGCGCCTCCAGCCATGTGGCTCTGTGGTAGAACGGCATCCGTGCCTCCATGAGTGTGTGCCTGTGGCTGTACCTCTGGGGCTGAGTTGGAGTGAGCCCCTCAGGATGCCCGTGGACCAGTCTTCCTGACCGTCCTCCGTTCCAGGACTCGTACCTGCTGGACTACTTCCTCTTTCTGAACCGGTACTTTGAGGTGGGGGCCCCGGTCTACTTCGTCACCACCGGGGGCTACAACTTCTCCAGCAAGGCGGGCATGAACGCCATCTGCTCCAGCTCCGGCTGCGACAGCTACTCCCTCACCCAGAAGATCCAGTACGCTGCCGAATTCCCTGAGCAGTGAGTGTCCCATCCCTGCCCCGGTCTGTGCCCCCTCCTTCCTGTTCCTGTCCCCGTCCCACCTGCTGTCACGTGCCTGGGGGGTCCAGGGTGAGGGTCAGGCCACAGGAAGGACCCACCACCAGGGACCTGGTCCTGCCCGCTGACCTCCTGCCCCGACTCCCAGGTCTTACTTGGCCATCCCTGCCTCCTCCTGGGTGGACGACTTCATCGACTGGCTGACACCGTCCTCCTGCTGCCGCCTTTATGCCTTTGGCCCTCATAAGGACGAGTTCTGCCCCTCCACCGTCAGTGAGTGCCAGGCCTCTGAGGGTTCACAACCCCCACATCTTGGGCACACTGAGGCAAGAGAAAGTAGAGAACTGGCGAGGCTTTCTTAGCCCCTCACACCCTCCTACAGGTTCAGCAGGGGTGGGGCACAGGCACAGCACACACTTGCAGGGCACCAGGCCACAGGGCTGGGTGCCGCACTGGACTGCTGGGCACTTGTGCACTCCAGTTTCTCCTGGGCACACTAGCTCCCACACGTGGGGCGTGGGGAGGCCCCGTGGGCTGTTTCTCTGCTCCACACTTCCCTTTCCCACCTGCCCCAGTTGTGGGCAGTTTCCAGGAGGGAGAGAAGCGCCGCAGTTAGAGAGAAATGCAAGGCGCTTTCAGGCGCAAGTGCGTGGGGCAAGTGCCCCGGTGTGAGGGGTGCAGAGTGGCAGGAGGGGCAGCACAGGGCGGCCAGGCCCGGGGTGCCGCTGCCTGCAGCCTCCGCTCCATCTGCAGCCTCGCTAGCCTGCATCAAGAACTGCATCAGCTTCACCCTCGGGACTGTGCGGCCCTCAGTGGAGCAGTTCAACAAGTACCTTCCCTGGTTCCTCAGCGACCTGCCCAACATCAAATGTCCCAAAGGGTAGGAGTGGGTGGGGTGTTGCCAGGAAGGACGGGGAGCGGGGAGCACAGAGGAGTGTGAGGCCGGTGCAGGGGACCTGGGGTGGAGCGCGGTCCTCAGCTAACCCTTTACTCTGCCCATGCCCAGGGGCCTGGCAGCCTACAACACTTCTGTGGACTTGGGCCCTGATGGCCAGATTTTAGGTAAGCGCGGCCTCAAGTGGCAGGGAAGCTCCCAGTCAGTGGCTTCAGGGCCCACGGGCCCCAGGGACGGACCTTCATATTGCACTTTCTCCCCTTCCTCCTTCACAGGGGCTCCTAGCTATGTCCTTGGAGGTCGGAGGTTGTGGGTTCTGGTTACCCAGCTCCTGGTCCTCAGACTTCATCCCCATCTGCCCTGCTTCCACCTTCCCACCCCGAGCACACAGAGCAGCACTGGGGTCCACGGGCGGCCCCCCAAAGCCCTACCAGGCAGAGGCAGGGCCAGCTTGGTCCTGCCCAGCTGCCGTTCTGCAGGGCTTGTGCAAAACCAGCTGTAGGCCCTTCACCCAGAGTTTATCAGGGATCCCCAGTGGTGGCAGCAGGGGCCCGAACCCAGGTGCCTGGGGGCCCTGAGGGTGCCTGGGGCTGGCTCTGACCTCTGTCTTGTGCTCCCACTGGCACCAGCCTCACGCTTCATGGCCTACCACAAGCCCCTGAAGAACTCGCAGGATTACACGGAGGCCCTACGGGCAGCTCGGGCACTGGCAGCCAACATCACCGCTGACCTGCGGAAGGTGCCAGGCACTGACCCGGCCTTCGAGGTCTTCCCCTACACGTGAGGCCACGGCGGCGGCCGAGGGGTGGGCTGGGGAGGGCCTCCTTCGATGGGTGTGGGAGGCCGAGCTCCGGGTGACCAGGTGACCATGCCACCCCTGCAGAATCACCAACGTGTTCTATGAGCAGTACCTGACCGTGGTGCCTGAGGGGCTCTTCATGCTCAGCCTCTGCCTGCTGCCCACCTTCACCGTCTGCTGCCTCCTGCTGGGCATGGACCTGCGCTCTGGCCTCCTCAACCTCTTCTCCATCATCATGATCCTGGTGGACACCGTGGGCTTCATGGCTCTGTGGGGCATCAGCTACAATGCTGTGTCCCTCATCAACCTGGTCACGGTAATCACCTGGCGTGGCCTCTGGGGGCACGCCCCTCTCTCTAGGGTCTGAATTCAGTCCTCTGGCCTGGGTGTGGGCCCCAGCCCGGCCCTCCTAAAGCTGATGCCCCCCTGCCCGCAGGCGGTGGGCATCTCGGTGGAGTTTGTGTCCCACATCACCCGCTCCTTTGCAGTCAGCACCAAGCCCACTCGGCTGGAGAGGGCTAAGGAGGCCACCATCTCCATGGGCAGTGCGGTGAGTGGCTGGGCGGCCGCGGGACACCCTCAGCCAGCTGCTCTGCTGAAGACACCCCAGCAGGCTGAGGGACATCCAGCCTGACCCCTGCCTGCGACCCCTAGGTATTTGCTGGAGTGGCCATGACCAACCTGCCTGGCATCCTCGTCCTGGGCTTGGCGAAGGCCCAGCTCATCCAGATCTTCTTCTTCCGGCTCAACCTGCTCATCACCCTGCTGGGCCTGCTGCATGGCCTGGTCTTCCTGCCTGTCACCCTCAGCTACCTGGGTGCGAGCCGGCATGCCCAGGGCGGGGCCGAAGAGCAGGCAGGGCAGGGAGCACTCCTGTCTGCCAGGGGCAGGGCAGTGATTGTGCTCCCTGGGTCTGTCCCTCTGCAGGGCCTGATGTCAACCCAGCTCTGGTGCTGGAGCAGAAGCGGACAGCAGAGGTGGCTGCCACCAGGGTAGCTGCCTGCCCAAAGCACTCCTCCCTGACCTGCCCGGCCAACGGCACCTACATCAATGGTGGCTTTGAACATCCTGCTGGGAACGTGGACCCAGGCACTGGTAGCAGCCCCCTGCCCCAGTGAGCAGAGCCCCGTCCAGGATCCAGAGGACTGAGGGCTCCCATGTGGACCCTGGCCTGTCTTCCCCTCAGAGCCTGGGAGTGGCTGTCCCTGTGGGAAAGCCCACCCTGGGACTCCTTCTGGCTGCCAGGTGCCCTAAGGGCCCCCCACCCTGGCGTCAGGCCCCTGGTTTCCAAGTCACACAAGCCTCGGTCAACACAGGCTTGCCTCGTCCTTCCTGGGACCTGGTTCTCGGGGCCCAGAAAGAGGCACACGCATTGGCTGCAGACTCAGAGTAGCTGCCCACTTCCTGTGCATTCCCCCACCCTGCCTCTACCCACTCTTCAGTGTCCCTGAGAATACAGGGCAGGACCCCACCCCACAGGAGGCCCCGGAGGGGCTTCCTGCTGGTGGGGGTTGCAGAATGTTCTGGAAAACATTGGTCATGGATGGACCCTGATAGGAAACGCTGCTCACTTTGGCCTTCAGCTCCAGTGACTGTCCAGTTGTTGCTGCCAGTGGAGCCACTCGTGGGTCGGCTCGGCAGTGAGCTCCCGGGCTGGGCCGCCTGCCCCCAGTTCTGTGCCCAGAGCGCCTCTGCAGCCTCAGAGCAGCCCCAGCAGAGCCTCCACAGAGAAGCGGGAACCAGGAGCACGCCTGCTCCGGGCCGTGCGAGTTGGTGCTTAATAAATGTCTGTGGGGCAGATATGGGGTTTATGTCACATGTCCTATTCTGGATGCCTCTGGGCTTGAGACACTTTTTGTGTCACACAAATGACACCTGCATGGCAGGGTGACTTAGGGGATATTAGACTGTGTTTTTCCCTTCCCTTTCCAAGAAAGGAGCTAGGCCCTTGTGAGCCTTTCCCTGGAAGTGCTTTCTGGAGCGGCCCCACTGCAGAGTGCTTCCCGGGAGCAGCCCGTGAGGGAGGCGACACCCAGACAACCTGTTGGAGAAGCAAGGTGCCCATGGGGAGGGAGGGACCCCCTGTGCACAGCAGCAGCCCCCAGGAAGGTCTTGTGCAGGGACAGGGGTCAGAGTGCCAAGCACCAAGGCCTCCTCCAGAACTTTCTGCTGAGCTTGGGCTCCAGCTCTGTCCCTTCTTCCATTGAGTGGGTTTGGCTGAGGAGCTGCTGTGACCTCATGTGACGGGAGGACATGCAAAGCAGATGTGTTCGCGTGGGTCCACGTGCCACCCAGTGTCCTAGCTCATGAACAGACCACTTCCATCTGTCAGCTGCCCTGCCAGTGGACAACCAGAGGGTCCCACTGCTGCTCCACTGCAGCCCACAAGCACTACTTGGAATTCCAGAGTCCCAGGAGCTCTGAAAACCTAGTTCATTACTATTTTCCTTTGGAAGTTTGGGACAAACTCAGCTGGTGGCAAAACCTGACAGGACCGGTTGTATCTGCTGATCCTCTTCACTAACAGGCTTTCCACAACCTTCTGCCCACGCGGCATGAACAGCATGCATGTCAGGGCGTCAGCAAGTTTGGTGACTGGCTGCCGCCTGTGCTGGGGCCTCCCAGGCATTGGGATAGTAGGCCGATGGGGCCCAGTCTCTAACATGGTGTAAGGGTCAGGGGTCTTCCCAAAACACATTCCACACTCTCAACTTCAACTCACCTCTGGGGTTGCAGGGATGGCCCCTGCGCAATGTGCACATGCGTGTTCGTCTCCTGTTGGCATGTGAGAGAGTCACGGGCAGGCACAGGCAGCTGGCAGCTGGCCATTGGCAGGGGCTCTCTGGGGCCTGGCACACAACGCCTCCTCTTGCTTTTGGGGAGGAAGGGGAGCATTATGGCTGATGGCCACTTTTGAAATACATTAAAAACATTTTTAGCACAGTCTTAGATTTACCAAAAATTGCAAAGATAGGACAGAGTTCCTATATGCACCATGCCCAGCTCACCCTGCTAACATGTTGCACAAGTGTGGGGCATTCATCAGCGTGCAATCAGTGAACCAATAGTGATAATTACTAATTGAAGCCTTTACTTTATGGTTCTCCTCTTTCAGCTTTTTCCTGTTGCAGGACCCTGCTTAGGACACTGTGTGACGTTCAGGCATCATGTCTCTGGAAGCTCCCGTGGGGGTGACAGTTTGTTGGACTGTTTTTGATGACCTGACAATTTGGAAGGCTGTTCAGGTGTCCTTCCCATGGGCTTTCTCTGGTGTTTCTCTCCTGGCAGGATGGGGTTATGGGCTTTGGGGAAGAGAACCACAGGGACAGAGTGACTGTCTCAGCTCATCGTGGTGAGGGATGCACTGTCAACACATCTGGCCGAGGCTGTGCCTATCAGGGGCTTCCTCCCTCCAGTGATCTTCCCCCCTTTTCCAGGCTGTGCTCTTTGGGGGGAAGCGCCTGTGCACAGCCCACATTGGGGGGTGGGCAGCCTTGTTCTAGCTTGTGGAAGGCGGAGCTCCCGCATTCTGAATGTACTGTGTACACACGTGTCAGTGTGGACCCTTGGATCCTCATTTTGTGCTTTGGATGATGATATAATGATACCGTATTTGCTTCATTAATTTGTTTGTCAAATTGTTCCAGCTGTGGCCATTGGAAGCTCTTTCAGTTGGCTCCTGGGTCCTTTCGTCATATGCCCTTCATGGTGAGGTTCTTTTTCCTTTTTGAGCCTTTACCTTCTGGCACCATAACAGGGTCCCCAGACCTAGAAGCATCCATTTCTCCAAGGAGTCCTGGTCCCTTCTCTGCAGGCAGGATTGGAAACCAGGATCCGGTTGCTTGGTATGCACATTGCTACTGAGGCGTCATTGCTTCTGGGCTCTCTCAGTGGGGAGAGCAGGGAAATGTGTGTGAACACACATGGCGATGTGTGTAAGCACTTCCACAGGCAGCCACCCACGTGGAGGCCAAGCCAAACAGCTCATGGCGATACCTGTTCTAACCCACCATGGGGATCGCCCTCGGCTCTGCCTCCCTTCTTACCTGCAAACACCCCAGCAGTTGGGAGCCTGTCCACACCCCTTCACCACCGGCCTAATTGTTCGTTTCCACTGTAGGCAGGAAGAATTTGAGGTAACAACTTGGAATGAAGTGTCTGCATACAGTTCCTTTTCCATTTAGTGCTAGGACTTCACTCACATCCAAGGTCACCTGTGTCAGCATCTCCCTTCAGCGAGGCTGTTTCACACATTTGTAACACAGTTAGATCGTTTTGTCATCCTGCATTCCACTCTGGGGTCCCCACTCTCTTAGGAGTTTTTTAAAAACGTGCATCCATCAAGTTTCTCTGTGTGCTGTAATGTCTCTGGCTCTGACACTGCCATCCAGGTGTCCCTCACTAACATCACACCCAACAGGTTCAGGGACCTGTGTTTTGCCCATTCAACCTGTTACGGGGGGTGGGGGAGGGGGGACCTCAGTTCTTGCTAACACAGTAAAGAATTGTAATTCTTTACTTACAGATCAGCAAGTCTGTTAGCGTGCACACAGGGTTTATTAGTGATATGTTCCCATGAACAAGAATGGGCCATGCCAAGGTCAGGGTTTGGGGTGGGGGTGGAGGCAGGAGGCACAGGTTCAGGGCAGGGCAAGGTAAGGACTGCAAGACCCACAGATCCTTTGTCTTATGGATTTCTATAGTTCATGTGATGGGGTGAAGAAGTTACAGATTGACAGGTAAATGTCGTGCCAGCTTTCCCCAGGAGACATGACTACCCAGAGTTAGGTATGTGTGGGGTCTCTTAACCCCAAGCCTTATCTTGCTCCAGATCCCACTTGTTCATCTTGTAAAACAGATGACAAGAGGCAGTTAAAGTTGAGGTAGTTGCCCAAGGTTATTTACCGGCCCTTTCTGTAAGTACTAGGGACCCCTTGTAAAACAGTGACCAGAGACAGGCAATTAACTAAAGTTATGTATGGGTGTTTTCCTTTGGGCACTGTGGACCCTTCCAGGCTTTAGGATGACTACACAGTCTCAAAGGCTTTCTTTCCCAGAGTTCCGAACCATGTAAGGGCTCCCCTCCTCCCTGTTAGCATGGTGTTTCTGGTGATGTTCTGAACACGTGGTGATCTTATGCCACCGGGCCAGGGACTGCTGAGTCCATGGGTGAGACGAGTCTCCCTCCTTTTCCCTTCCTCGGTTTACTGTCTATCCCACCTAACAAACCTGCCTCACACCCACCCCCAGCGACCACCGGCCTGTCCCAGTTTCTACAGTCTTCCTTTTCCCAATACGACACTGCATGGCAGGCTTTCCAGACTGGTTTCTCTTAGCAGTGGGCATTCAGCATCAAGTGCTGAGGTTCTGCTGCTGGCTGGGGCATCCCTTCACACGGACGCGTTCCCCGACATGATGAACGCAGTCTGTTTATCCACGCAGCTCTGGGAACACGCGTGGGCGCGCTCTCTGCGCGGGCACGCACTCCGCGGTGACGGCACAGCAGCGCCCTCGGGCACGCGCGCACCTGTCTCCTCTGCCCCACCCGCGCACGAGGGGGCTCAGGACGCGGACCAAAGGACCATCCCGGATCGCGCGACGCCGCTGCCCACGCTCTTCCGCCCGGTTCCAACATGGCCACGAGGAGTCCTCAATCGTGCAGGTCCGGGCCCTCGGCGGTCTAGAAGCCGCTTCTGAGTTCAAGTGCGCTCCTCAGCCAGGCCGCCCAGGGAAGCCAGTGGCGGCGGGCGCCGGGCTAGCGGCGAGGCCGCCCGAGTGACAACGACTTGCCGCGAGCCCAAGGGAGAGCGGATCCAAGTTTCGCGGGCCCGCCCGCGGCGGAGCCGTTACCGCGGCGCGCCGGAAGTGGCCCTGGGCCGCCGTCCTGGCCGCGCCTTCGGAGAGCGAGCTCCCGTCTAGTCGGCGACGCCATGGAGCCCGGGGCAGCCGAGCTGTACGATCAGGCCTTGCTGGGCATCCTGCAGCACGTGGGCAATGTCCAGGACTTCCTGCGCGTGCTCTTCGGCTTCCTCTACCGCAAGACTGACTTCTACCGCCTGCTGCGCCACCCCTCCGACCGCATGGGCTTCCCTCCGGGGGCCGCGCAGGCGCTGGTGCTGCAGGTGACGCGCGCCGGGCCACCGCACCCCGCTTCCCAGAGCCCCCTTCCCCGGAGCCCAAACCCGCAGGATCTCGACCCGTCCCTCCCTGCACCCCTGGCTTCAGGTTCCCTCTGGCGCTTCCCCAGACCGCCTCTGGGCGCCGCGAGTGCGCCGAAACGCTGGTCACGGCGGATCAAGTTACTTCTCCGCGGGAGCGGGGCTGGCCCTCAGCAGCTTGGTTGCTCTTGCCGCGCTTGGGCGTCAGAAGTGGCGCAGCGCCCGTGGCAGTGCCGGGGCTGCGGGTCGGGGATGGGAATCGGACGTGCGCTGCCCCGCGTCGCGGGGTGGAGGTGGTAGGGAGGCGGGGGACTGACGGGTGCAGTCCTCTTGCTTGCGATGTTGTTTGAGCGTCCGTCTGGCTGTCCCAGCTTAAGTCGATTGCGTTTTGAGGTCCGGTCCGTGCTCATTCACCAAGCTGTCAGGGTGCCTGGAAAGGTAGCAGGTATTCCCATTCTCAGTGGACGTTTATGTGGTGGACTCCGCGTGACACTGGTTACAGTCGAGGGTATAAAACATCTCAGAACAGAGAACTGTGCAAGGCCCCTTATGGGACAGGGGAGGGAGTGGGTTTGGAAACGAGAGGTTTTGTGGGTGGTGGGGTGGCGGTGGGATTGAAAGCAGGCGCTCAGCCTAGCATTGAGCCTGCAGGAGCCTTGGAAGCTAGACATGCTGGCAGCACCTCCCACAGGTCCCCAGCACTTCACAGTTGATGCCTGCCCGGAGAGACAGGTGGGGTTCAGTTGCCCAAGGTGATAGGGAGGGTGGAGTGGGGTCTCAGTGCTGGAGTTTGAGGCTGTTCCTTATCCTGTCACCTGATTGACACCCCTGAGGGAGGGGTCCCAGCAGGCCCTTGTGGCAGTTTGATCTTAGGGTGGCAAAAAGTCTGTGTGGTTTTTGCTGTAAAATAAAAGACATGTTTTTCATTTTCATCAATAACTGTATTGATTTGGATATTTTGAGTATGTCTCCTGTGTGGTATAATATTGAGTGTTCTCAGTTTGATCGCTGTCAACTTCAACTGGTTTACCCCACCATGGTGCATCGTCCAGTGAGAAATCTCCAGCACGAAACTTCACAAACCACTTCTGACACATTGGGTCAGTCACAGCACCTTCTCTGTGCACTGCACAATTTTTTTGCAGTTCAGTTGTGTTTTACCTTTCTTGAAATATTAAAGCATAATGTGCCAAAAATATTGTGCATTGCCTTCCACCTTCAATACTAAAATGGCTCAAAAATCCACCAATTTTGATAAGCTTTTTTTAAATGCACGATGATACAACAGCTATCACAATACAATCTAACAAAGTTGTTTCGAATGAAGTTACAACTGGGTGGTACTAGAGCCATCGTACGGCAAAAACTAAGCGAACTTTTTGGCCGACCCAATACTTGTTCCTATGAATTAGTTGCGACCAAATTTTATGTGGCAGGTGAGGGTGGCAGTTCAGCAAGGTGAGGTAATAATCCCGCTAAACTCACCATTTTTGTAATTCCAGCTCTTTCTGTTCCCTGACTTATCCATTCCATAGCAGAGTGGGAATCCTGCACCTAGGGTGATGGTGGCTTGCGGAAGAAGGGTGCAGCTCCTGACCACCTGGGACGTCCTAGTTACCATGGCGGATGTCACCTTACGTAACCCTAACACATCCCGAAAGGTTTGACAGACGAACCGACATTTGTCTGGTGTCTGCTCACAGAGCACCTACTATGTTCCAGGCACCCTTCCAGGTTAAGACTTGATGACCTATTGAATGAGTGGGCAGAGGGAGGGGATGGAGGAGTCTGATACCCTTGGGTTTTAGACCTGGGGGCTGCTACAGCGGCACTGCATTAACTGCACCACCCCTAGAGTTTAGGGGAAGAGGCCCAGTTTGGGGGCCTCTTGGATTTGAGATCACAGGCAGCGGCCCCTACTTGACCTCACACAATGATGGGTGACCAGAGTGGTTGTGCAGTCACTCTGGGAGGCGTGCAGAGGCCACACCATTGTGCTGTGCACGTGAAAGTGACATGCTGTCTGTCAACGGTGCTTCAGTAACAAACAGAAGGTTGATGCAGTCAGACAGAGGGACTTGGTGCTGCACACACCCTACTCTTTGCCTTGACTCGATGGTGAGAGACCCCTTCCTGTGGATGCTGCACTTAAGCTGGGGGCTCAGGATGTCTTCTGGGCAAAAAGGGTTTGAATGGGAGGGTTAGAACTTGAAAGCTGTCTGGAGGGGATGGGGGCTGGTGTAAGACTCTGCCAATCTTCCCCCTGACTCTGGGGACTCGCAGCCTTAGGCACAGCTTGAAGGACCCCTGGGGGAAGGTGCCTTCCTCTCCGTGGCTTTTATGTACGCTCAGACAAGAGCCAGTGGGGCCTGGCACACTGCTCGTTTCAGGTGGCAGTCTGTGTGTCCTGGCGTCTTTGACCAGCCTGTGTAGGAGCCTGGCCAGGACAGCCTGCTTCGTCTGTCTCTCCCTGAGGTCCCAGGCAGTCCTGGCATGTCACCGTCTGGGAGAAGGTGGCTGGGAGGTCACGACTGGCGCAGCTGCATGTTGCTGTGGTTCTGGAGCGAGGGAGAGGCCAGGTGTCAGGGCTCAGTGGCAGCTGTTTCCGTGGCACTTGGAGGTGAGCTGCCCTGGACCAAGCTTTTGGGTTGGTGCTGTGGTGTTGGAGGGCGCGAGGCTGTCAGCAGGCTGTCTGAAGTCAAAATGGGTCTGGTTCGTCTCCAGGCTTTGGGACTTTATTTTCCTCTGCTGGCATCTTTCAGTGACTGTGTGGGCCACAGCTTCCAGCTCCCCAAGGTGCAGAGCAGAGGGCACAGGGCCAGGTGGTATAGTGAGGCTGCTCCCACCCGCAGGACTTTGGCCCCAGAAATGGGGTTCCTGAAGGAGGTGGGCCATTCGTGGAAGGTCTGATTCTGGCCCCTCCTTCCAGGAACTGTCTTCAGCTTGCTCTCACCAGAAACTCAAGTTGCACCCCCACCCCCACCCCATGGCACAGTGGGTGTGTGCTGCAGCCTGTCCTGCTTGCTGTCACCCTGGGTCGGTCTGTCAGGTAGGGCAGAGGAGCTGTCAGTGGTATCTGGTTCCTCCTGCATGTGGTAGGCAGGGCCTGGCGTGGGTCAGGCTGAATTCCCCAGCTGCTGCTGCTGCTGTGGGGCAGGAAGGTCAGCTGGGTCCCATCTTCCCTCTGCTGCCCTCGCTTAGTCTCAGGACAGGTGCTGTTTGCATTGCCGACAAATGGGGCAGGATAGAGGTAGGCGAGACTGTGGGTTGTGCCTCCTGAGACAGAGGGCTGGGCTCACCTGAGCCTTGGCTGGTCAGGCGGAGCTTCTATGGAGCGGGAGCTCCCCCGTTACTGGGCTCTTGCAGCAACGTGATTGAGTCCATTGTGTTGCCGTCTTCCACGGGGACATTGCTTCTGGGGGCTGCTCCTCTGTCTCCTGCTGGGTGCTGCTTCATGCCTGTGGCTCACTGCTGCATCGCTGTTTGATTTTAGGTGTTCCAGACGTTTGACCGCATGGCCCGTCAGGATGACGAAAAGAGGAGGAAGGAGCTGGAGGCGAAAATGAGGAGAGAGGAGGAGGCAGTGGCGGCAGCAGTGGTGGCGGAGGCGGCAGAGCAGGAGCTGGTCCCTGCCCCATTGCAGGAAGTGGAAGTCAACTCCACCACAGACGTGGCTGCAGACGTGTCTGTGGAGCCTCCTGGCCAGCCAGACGCTGTGCAGGGGGCGGCCCTGGGCTCCCAGGAGGACGCTGAGCCACCAGGCTCCAACATGGGTGCTGCCCAGGCCTTGAGGGAACCCCCAGCTCCTCCCAAGTGAGACCTGCTTCTTTCTCGCTGGCACATGGGTGGGTGGCATGGGGGTGGCTCTCATCGGTGACAGAGGCTGTCCAGCGTTTACTGAGCTCCTCGTGTTTGCGAGATGCTTGGCTGGACATTGCTCACCAAGGTTGGAGGGCTGTGGCTTGAGCAGGTGACAGACATATCTTCAAGGATGGCTGGGCAGCACTGCCACATTGCGGAGGCTCAGGCAGCAGTTGTGGGGTGTGCGAGGCCATGTAACTCGGGAGGGGTGGGTCATGCATAGGTGCTCCAGTGGAGGAAGGGTGCAGTAGGGCCTCGGGTCTGCAGGGGGCTGGGCCCAGGGCAGGGATCCCAGGGGACCCCTTCGCCTGAAGAAGCCCGATTGGCAGGTCCTGGGGCAGCTGCTAGGCGGAGTCCCCCAGCTGCACTTGTCCCAGAGCTGCTTGGTAAGCCCTCCTTGCTGAGGACTTCACCCTGTCTCTTGAGGCTCCCTGGGTTTCTGAGGGACGAGAGTGTGTGGTTGTGCCTGCATAGGATGAGTCCCCATGCTGGCCGTGACCAGTCTTGTCTTCATTAGCTGCCACAACCCGAACCCCCCCCCCCCCATGTGGCACCCATGGGTTCACGCTGCCAGGGATTTTGAGCCTCTGAATTTCAGGCTTTCCCTGTTCTCTCCCCTCCCTGGGGTCCTGTCCTCAGATGCATTCCCACCTGCTGCAGTGTTTCCCCCTACACTCATTGCGCAGCTTCCTGCAGGGGGCACTCCCTCGGGCTCCTGGGGCTTCGGTGTCCACCCGTGGATCCCCTCTCTATTGTCCTGTGTTTTCCATGGCTGTTTCACATCCCCATCAGCCCGGCTGTCTCTAGGTTTGCTTCTGATGGCTGAATTGTCTCCTGTTTTGGGCCATGTTTTCCTGCCTCGTCACTCGCCTGGTAACTATGTTGGATGCTAGATGTTGTGAATGTCCGCTTGTGTCTGGATTTCAGTTTTTCCTTTGAGGGCTGTTGAGTTCTGTTCTTGCAGGCAGTTCGCTTACTCACTCTTGTAGAAGCCAGTGGTCAAGCCTTGCAGGGGTGTGTCTGGAGCCCTTCCCTTCTGGGCTGGTTGTGCCTGCTTTTGAGGCATGGCCTTCGTGGGTGCGCCTGGAGCTTCAGCTGCTCCACATGGCCCCTGCGGTCTGGGTGGTGGATATGTGGACGTGCCATACCCTTGGTGGGCCCGGGGGGACCGTGCAAGGCTGCCTGTGTCCCACTTTTCCAAGAGCCTTTCTCTAAAATAATTAGACACAAGAATGAAGACTGTGTACTTATTCACTCCTGTTTCATTTATTCCAGCATTACTTACACCAGCAAAATTTTGAAAGAATGCTGAGTTTTCAGTAAGAGAATTGTGAAATGCTTTTGTATAATGTTTTGTTGTTTTTTTTATTACTTACTGATTTTTACGGGGGGGAAGAGTGAGAGAGAAAGAAACAGATCTGTTCCACTTACCGATGCACTCACTGGTTGATTCTTGTCTGTACCCTGACCAGCGATCAAACCTATAAGCTTGGCTTGTGGGGATGACGTGCTGACCAACAGAGCTGCCCAGCCACGGCCTCAGAGTACGATTTCATTTATACTAATAATGTGTAGATTTTTACTCACAAACCATGTACGTGGCATTTGGGGGGTGATGTAGGAGATATTTGTAGGACATTTTAATTTGAGTTACACCCCCAGCTGCCATCCCAGGCGAGAAAAGTGCCCCGTGTTGTGTGAGCCCAGAGAATCTGGGCCCTCGCGGGGACGTCCGAGGAAGCGCTCCTGCTCGACTGCGGTCCCGACAACCCCTGGCCTGCGCTCAGGGCTGCTGCCGGCGCTGCAGTGCACCCCGCGGTCAGCAGGTGTTGTGCGATGGAAATCTAGGAAGGCTGGACCCCTCTGGCTTTGGCCTTTAAAAATCGAAATGGAATTCTTTACAAAAAGAAGATAAAAGAAGAAAGTAGAACTGAGAGTGGATCATCGCCTGGGCGCTGGGCCTGGGTGAGGGATGGTGCTGGGGCACCAGAGTGCGGGCGCATTTCCAGAGCCTTCGGAGAGACTGCGGGAGGCCAAACAGCCCGCGTCCTAGAGGTGGTTTCCGTCACCCAGGAGGAGAACGGCTCTCCGTACCAGCTTGTGCCTCTCCCCGCTGGAAGATAGTGTCTGCTGTGCAGAGAGTGTTTCAGGTCGAATTCAGCCAGGAGCCAGAGCAGACGGACTACCACCACACCTAACTCCACACTGTCACCACCGCCTGGCCCCACCATGTCCCTGGTGTCGCTCATCAGCGATTCAACGTCTAGTTTTCTCTAGATGTCCTGCCAGAGAAACAGCGATGAAGGTTTGTGTAATCTGCACACACAGCTGCAGCTGTGCAGGGCTGGTGGCTCACCCTCTAGTTCTTCTGCGTGGCCTTGGAATAGATTTGTTCATCAGGTGGGTGTGTGGCCTTGCCACCTGTGTTTTGCTGGCTGGTGTAGAGAGTTGGCTGGGTGTTTAGGGCAGAGTCCTGAGAGTGTGTAGTGGGCGTGAGTGCCCCCCTCAAGGCCCCCTAGAGCACAAAAGTATTCCGCAACACTTTTGTCCCAGTTTTTCACGTTTGTCCCTGATTTTCCTGTCATGCGTGCTACACTGCATGTGTGGATGAGCAGTGGCAGGGACCTGTCAGCCTGTGCCATCCTCCCCACATTGCCCCTGTGCTGTGGCTCCGGCCCTGGCGTCGGGTTTGGCCTGGGAGCCCCCCGTGGGTGCTCAGAAGGTCTGCTTTCCAGGAGACTGACTGAAGCCACGACCTCCCAACAACCTTGAGCCAGCACACCCCCCACTGCGGCTGTCTCATCGCCTGGGGGGTCCCATAGGGAATGCAGTTGGGTTGTCCTCGGTCTGGTGCCATCACCAGGATGCTGCGGGGGGTGTGCTGCTCACGTTGCCTGGAGCATGTGTGTGAATATCTGCCAGCCGGCTTCCCATGCAGGGATTGCTGGGTCACAGGGTCTGGCCGTGTCATTCTGGTAGGTGGTGGCCAGGCAGTGACTGTGGGCACCTGACCCACCTGGGTGCTGGCCCGTGGCCCCGGCCCATTTCCCAGCTGCTGTTGACCTTCTCTTCGTCGGCTTTGTTCAGAATGCCATCGCTGTTTCTGTTGGGGTCTGAACAGTGGAATGGGTGTCCCTGTACTTTTTCTTTTCCTCCGTCTGTCCCCATTTATCTCTTTGTTGGCCATTCTTAGTCTGGCCTGCATTTCCTCTCCCCCAGGCTTTTCTGGAAAATTAACTTTTCTATGTGAAAATTCTGTTGAAATCTTCATTGGGAATACATTGAGTTTATGTTTTGAATTGGAGTTAACACCTTTCCATCGAGCCTTTCCACCTGAGAACAGTGTGTGTCTCATTTGTCGAGTGTTGTGCGCCGTCCTGTGGAGTCCGCTGGTTTCGGTTGGCACGTCCTGCGCACCAGCTCCCTCTCGGGTGGCTGAGAGTCTCTCTGTTGATTTCCTAAGATTTCTAAGAACATGGGCTATTTAGTATTTGTTGTTATATTTTAGCAACAGCAATGTTTAGAAATAAACAATAGCCATTTTTAACATTCAGAATCTTACTTATAGCTGCGGTTTTCTCAGCCGCAGCTTCGGCTACACAGCATCCAAGAAGTGGGGAGCTGGGTGGTTGAGCCAGGAAGCCGTTGAGTGCCCAGAGTTCCCGAGATCTGTTTATTTCGTGCTCTTTGAAAAGCCTTTCCATTGTTAGGTAACCCAGGTCTACCAAAAAAAGAAGTTACAAAAACAGTACAGAGAATCCGCAGACACCCAACTGCCAGATTCCCCAGGTGTGAACCTTCTGTGACCCGCCAGAACCCCTTCCTCCTGGGGCAGGTGCGATCCCCATCATTGCTGCGTTAGGGCCAGCTCCTCAGCCTGGTCCCTCAGGGTCTCTGTGCTTGCGGAGACCTGGCTTTTTTTTTCTTGGTGGATGGCCTGGTGTGTGGTTTGTGCAATGTTCCCTGTGGCCAAAGAGTCGCGTCTCCTCCTTGTTAAACTACTGATTGTCTAGTGAGGGGGCACTTTGAGACTCTGTGAACATTTTGTTCCCACTGGCGGGGCCATGTGGGGACGGCTTCTGCTCTGGATGCTGTTTCTGCCCCTTTCTCTGTGTTGCGGAACTTTTTATTCATCAAACCTTGGTCACCTGAAGCAGGACTTGAACGTTACTTGTCAAGGATATTTCAGTGTCTGATTTCAGTGACAGAAGCACAGATCAGGTGGCTTTGGGCCCCCCTCTCACCCCTTGTGCCTGTAGCATCCCAGAAACGACCGCAGGACCTGCTGGTAAGGCTGCCTCATGTCATTCACCTTGCGAGGGACAGCGTCACACCAAGAGTGACAGCTTCTCAGAGAGGCCCTCAGGCCAGAACTTGTGAATTGGAAGTGTGATGTAAGGGGGAGTGTTAGAGTAATGGTGGCGTAGGGGTCCTGCCATAACTGGTTGGGGCTGTGGCTTTGCTGTCTCAGGGGCCCAGTGTCAGCTGGGTGAGTCACCTGGCAGCCTGTCAAGCAGTCTGGGGCAGGGCACAGTCCTCAGCATGGTCTTCGGCCCCGGGCCCGTGGCTTCTGGGTCACCTCGCTGCACCTGCTGTGTCAGGGCTTTGCTCATGTGGCAAGTGCTGAGCACCCCTGGGCAGGTAGTACTGGGGTGGGAGTGTGGTTTTTCTCCAAGCTCATTGCTCAGTTCAGAAGTCTTTTGGGAATTGAAATAGTTTTCTGATTCTTGATGACTAGGAGTAGAAAACTCAGTTAAAGACCACGAATTCAGCATTCTTCAGTGGACTTATTTATGGAATAGATGACCTACTTTTTGTTTAAAACGTATATCTAATTTTCTTGTACTTGTAGAATATCCACTTATTAAAACAACTGAGATTTAAGAAAAAGTCTCACTGTAGTGAGGTTTCATTTTTAGTTCACTAGAAGAACTTATAGTTGGTGTCGGGGGTGCTTGTGTTGGCTGGCCATGCGACCAGGTTGTTGAAGCCGTCTCACAGCCTGCATCGTCGCTGTCCGGCCCTCTCAGGCATTTATGAGAGGGGCCTTGCCTCATTTACTTTAGGTGTAGAGTCATCTGGAGTTTTCACTGTGCTACAAAGTTAATTTCAAAATGTTAAGAAGGAGTTTCTGCTGTGTACTTGACACAAGTGTCTTTTGTTGATGGATCCTTACTGACGAGGGTGCACGGTCTCCAGGTGGAGCCGGGCTGGCTGTATCGCTGGACTTCCTCTTTGTACTCGGACAAGCCCCTGGCACGACCCGTCAGGAGAAGAGACTGCACAGAACACCAAGGGGACCACAAAGGGCATAGTGACCCCCCAAAGTGGAGATTAAAGAATCGGGAGCCACTGTTCTTGGCATAGACGATGCCCAGGGCATCCCCTCACCCCCCACCTCAGGGCAGGAGGAGCTGGGAGAACCAGGGCCACCAGGTTGCAGTGACAGCCCAGCATCTTGGAGGAAGCACGAAGACAGCTCACAACCTGGGAGGAGGTGTTTGTGAGCTAAAGCCAACGGGCTGCAAGCAGTGGCAGTGGCATGGATTTCACAGAAATGCATCGCTGTGGGCGGTAGACACGGACGCACAGGGGCTGCAACAGGGCTGCCCCCAGGCACTATTCTGTGTGTGTCAAACCGGCCAGCTTTGGAGAGCCCACTGGTGCTGGGTGCAGCCCACTTCGCTGCCGGACTCTAGTGGGACGGGCGTCCATGGAAACCAACCGCTCATTTCTTGGGGTGGGGCGCTGCTCCATGTGGGGCCAGAGCCCGTTGGGTTTCAGAATTAACAAAGAGCTTCCCCTGCTGCCCCACCTTGCGTCCCTGGTTCTTGGCACTCTCCCTGCGCCAGACTTTGTCTCCAGTAGGAGAAGTCCCAGAAATCATGGCCTCTCACTGGTCCTCTCACCCGTCTTTTGGCTTGCTATGACTTGTGCTGTGTATAGATTCACGGTCCTGCTAATCTTCTGAGGCCCAGTCAGTGTTTCCTGATGGTCCCTCTGCAGCTGCTTTCCAATGGCGAAGGCATGTGGCTGCTGCGTCGTCTGCAGCTCGCTCGCCACGATGATTCTGTGCTCCTTTTCATTCTCCTCTTCATTCTGAAGAGACTGGGAACCTTGTCTGCTAGGATCCCCAGACTCTGGACATGGCTGGAGGCATGTTCATGGTTTTGGAGAGCAGGGGCTGCCCCCTGCAGCCAGTGGGCAGACTGAGGTTACTGGGTTTGAGGCCCCTCCAGTGGCATCTGCCCGACCATCCCGCACCCTGTGCCCAGAGGCATCTGCCAGGCTCAGGTTCTGTGTGGCTGGTGCTGCCTGTCCTGTCTCCCTGCAGCTGCTCCCTGGTAGTGCAGGAACGTGGCTTCGTAGATGCACTTGCCCGCAGAACCGGTTTGTTTGTCGACATCCAGCTGGAGCTGTGCTGCGCTCTGCTCAGCACAGGTGGCGGCCGTAAAGATGCTGCGTCCCCTTCCGCTGGGCACCATGTTCTCCTTGCTGCATTGCACTTGTTCACCTGGGCCTGGCCTCTCCTCGTGGTACACAGTGCCCTTGCTCTGGGGTCCGGGCGGCACTGGCTGCCCGGCCGGGCCCTGTTGGGGCGGCGGCCTCACCAGGGGGGGACTGGTGGCCACCACCAGCCCCTGGCGCCAGATGTCAGCGCGGTGCCTGACGCCGGGTTTTTTAAAGAAAACGCTGGGTGGCAGTGCTGTGTGCGCGGCGTGTGGGCAGGCATGCTGAGGGCCGCCCCCTGACTTCAGCTCTCCCTCAGGAGGCAGGAGCAGTTCCAGAGGAACCCCGACAGCTACAACGGGGCGGTGCGTGAGAACTACACCTGGTCCCAGGACTACACCGACCTGGAGCTCAAGGTGCCGGTGCCCGCGCATGTGCTGAAGGGCAGGCAGGTAAGTGGGGCTCTTCTGGCCAGGGGCCCGGGGCTCGGGCTGTGGGCTGGTCTGAACCCTCGGCCCCAGACTCCCGCAACAGCCCCACTCTGCAGGTCCGGGCAGGTGGAGACCCGCCTCCTCTGCCAGCCGTCCTGTGATCTTTGTGTTCTAAGGGCAGTGTCCTCACGTCCCACAAGAGATGCGAGGAGGGGGCGAGGCTGCTGCGGAGGTGGGAGGGCTGGTGCCAGGGCAGAGTTGCCTGAGTCCTGGAGGGAACTGCAGACCTGCCCCGTATGGGGAGCCACGGCCATGGGGGCTGTCACACACTCCTCCTGAGGAAGGCCCGCAGTTCACGGAGCTTGACTGGGTGGCAGGTGCAGCGTGCTCAGCCCAGCTCAGAGCGCCGCCGTGGCGCCCTCGTGTGGCCTGGAGGACTGGCTGCTCTGATCCCGGTCCTCAGCGTGAGGATTCCCCTGAAGTCTCAGCCTTCATGAGCCCTGCAGAGCGCGAGATGCCTCCGCATGTCACTGAGGAGGCCCCAAGGCCTAGCTGTCCAGGCGGACGTAGACCTCTCCTGGGCTGTGTGCTTCCTAAACGAGATTGGGAGTGGGTGACTGGTTTCCTGGGGGGGCAGGTCTGCTTCCGAGGTATGCGCCCCCTCCCTCTGTAGCTGGCCCTAGCGGCTGCAGGTTGTAGGCCTGAGCACAGGAGACACAGGTGGAGCTGCATGGGGGGTTCCGGGCCAACCAACATGTGAAGCAGCACCAGCTTCTGCTGGTCTGGGTGCCTAAGTGGTCGCAGCTCTCCCACCTGCCCTGGGGCCCCACTGCAGACCCCTCGCTGCTCCCATGCACAGGTGTCTCGGTCCAGGCGGCCGGTGCTCCTAGTGCCCAGAGGAATGGCCGAGCCTGCGTGTCTGTGGGGCCCATTGACCTGATTTACCCTCTTCTTGCTTCTCCGCTGCCTGGGGGAACCCTCTCTTTCCACTGGTGGTCTTTCCCACGGCATTGTCATTGCACCGTGCCCTCCTTTTAGACAGCCATGGTCTCTCTGCTTTTCTGTGACATAAGTTTTAGTCGGGCCTCACTTAAAACTCTGGGGTGATTTTATTTTCAGCTCTTGGCTTTTGCTGATCTAAGGGTTTTCCTGAGCTGCCAACATTCTCTTTGGACTGGCTCCTTTGCAGCTGTCCCCTGAGGGACCTGTCACAGTGAGCTGTCACCAGTGTTTATTTTTGGTTTTGTCCCTGCACCTACCAGGTGCGGTGTGCTGGTGGTGGGGATGCAGCAGCTTGGGGGTGGGTGAGGCTGCAGCTGGAGCTGCACCTCAGCACCTCGCCCCCATCATTCCCGTGGGTCCCTGTAGGGACAGGCCTGCCTCTCGGTACCGTAGGGACAGACAAGGGGAGTATAAGCAGCCTGTCTTTCATCATCTTGCTGGTAAAGCTGGAGAAAAACTCAGAACAAGGCTGTGGTTTTAAGCCTTTGCTTTGTCTCCTCTGCCCTCTTGCCTCAGTGTAGCCACGGCCACCGCAGTGCCCGCCGGCCTGACCACAGGCCTGCTGGTTCTGGGCTTGTAGAGTGTCAGTGCTGGAAGACTCTCCTTGGAGGGTTTTGGCCACACCTCTCACCTCCTGGGGGAGCAGACCCTGAGGCCTGGCCCCACCCCTCTGCTTGGAGACTAGATGAGTGACTCTGCAGGGTAGGCGGGTTCGTTTCCTCTTCCCCTTCTTCCTGTGGGACACGTAGTTCTTGCTGACTGGGGAGGCCCTGCTGCCTGCCCTCAGTGCTCTTGGGAATCTTCTGGCATAGCACCCCGACCTAAGGGCATGGCCTGCACCAGGACGAGGCTGCTGGGTGCATTGAGGGACGTGTTAGGGAGATCCTGTTACAGGACGTTTGTGATGGGAAAGGACTACCAGGCTGCACTTTTGCATGTAGGACAGTCTTTTTGGGCACAGAGGACAACCTGTTCCAAAGCACAGAAAGTTTGCAACGCAGGTGCTCACTTCTGCCTCTGCCTTCTGTGTGGACATGCCACACCTGACCTTGGGCATCACGGTGAGGTTCCGGGGCGCAGGCCTTACCATGCACCTGCCATCAGCTATGACTAGGTCATCACGCCCCACCCCTGCCCGTGGCCCCAGACCCGGGCCCTGCAGAAAAGGCTTTCCTGGGTCAGGTTGAAAACGACCTTGCAGGTGGGGCTGCCTAGACTGTCCCACTGGTCAGGGGACCACAGCTGTTTTTGGGGTGAAGCTTCCAGAGTTCTGTGTCACACACGCCCTCTGGTGGCTGCCAGGCTGCACCAGGACCGGGGCTGCCAAGGGGCAGATGGACTGGCCTGGGTGTGTCCAGTGTCGAGCTCAGGGCTCTGGCCCAGGTTCTTTCATGGACACTCCCTGTGTTTCTGCAGGCTTTGGGTGAGTTTCCAAAGTTCAGGGAAAGTGGGTGGTTGGCCGTTTTGCATGGTTCTGCTGCTCTTCCTGGGTTCCTCCCTCTGCCACCTGCACTGATATCCCTTTGGGTCAGGAGTTTCTAGTTTAGTTGGTTTGTTTTCCTGGAGTTTCTTGATGCCTTTATTTTTCTCTTGTCAAAAATAATCTTGGAGCCACCTAGACTGCCGGCAGTACTGTAGTCACTGTCTCCCCGAAGATCCTTCCGGAGAGCCCCCCACCCCGGCTGCTGTGGGTGTGGGATGTGCCTGCACGTCTGAGGCTTCTGACCTGGAGCCACTTCTGCGCTTCTGCGTCCTGGGCGTCTTAGCCCTCCTGGTCCTCCTCGAGTCTCGCCTCACTTGTCCAGAGGTGGACACGTGATGGGGCGTGGCTGTGGGCGTGCTGGTGGCGGGACATCTGTGCTGGGAAGTGACCACCACACTGTCAGTGGCGGTTTTTCTCTCGTGATGAGAGCAGTAAGGGTCTCTCAGCAGCCTTTGCTCACACAGCGCAGTGTCAGCAGCTCTGGGCTCTGCAGGGGTGTCTGAGCCGGGATGTGCTCCCCTCGTGCCTGGGATTTGTGCCCTGGCCCCTGCTCCCAGGATCCTCCTCTGGGCCAGTTTTCACCCTTAGGACTTTTCTTGGAGTGGCCCGTGGTAAACACAGCATGCTGAGAGTCTCAGCGTGTGGTGGCTGTGACCTTTCCCTTGTTCCCTAGTGTGGGTGGGCACGGAGATTCCAGCATAAACAGTCCCTGGAGGGTTGGGGGCTCTGTTCCTTGTGTTCTTGAGCCAGGTCACCAGTCTCAGGCACCTGGCCATGCAGCTTGGCAGGTAGACTTACTCTCCCCCCACGGGGCTGTTAAGGTCTTCTCAGAAGTGAGGGCCGTGGGCTTGCACGTGTTTGTGTGATTCGCCTCCATCCGCTCCTCCATCCGCTCTGCCCAGCGCTCAGCCAGCCTTCCCGTCCCGAGGCACGTTTTTTCTGCACTCCGGGGATTGTCTCATCCCCGTCCTGGAACCGGCTTTGTCTGCACCTCATGTCTCTGACTTTGTCTTCCCAGTTCTGTTGAAACTTTTATTTTAGCCACAGCATTTTGATTCATAAAAAAAGTGTTCTTTTTCTGGTCTAATTCTATTTTCATGTTTTATTCTGGTTCTGTGGAAGCAGCATCTTCTCAGACCTCGCTGAAGACGTAAATAGGAAGCGTTTTGGAGAACCCTTCTTCCTAATTAGCCCTGCAGTTGTCCACCCGCTGTACCTGAGTCCATCCACGCGGTGCTGGCTTCCTGTGATGAGGTCCTCAGCTCCCTGGGTGGTTTCCACTGCAGGGTGTGTCCCGCCCCTCCTCTGTGAGGGGCCAGTATTGGCAGCATTGCCTCTGAGCCCGGGGTCACACGTGGGGCTCAGACCACCACCCCTCCCTGCCGTGGCCCATAAGTGAGTGCCTGTCCCTTCCCCGCCTGGCGGTCCTCCCGCCCCTGCGCCTGCTGACCGCCGGTAGAGGTCTGTCTGGGGTAGCTCCCACGGGCAGACCATCACTATTCTCACCCTCTTCCTGGGTTGCAGGGTTCCAGGTTCCCACTCCCCACTCTTGGCTGTGGCTCTTCCTGCATTGTCTCTGTCGTCTCCCTGGGTCATAGGGTCAGGAGACGGCTGTAGTTCCCAGGGCGACTTTAGGACAGGAACTCCGGGGGTTCCCTGCTATGTGGTTGCCCCTGGTGCTTCATGTCAGACGACAGTCCAAGAAACATGTCCTGAGTTCCTCCCATGGCCTGGGAGGCCTGTCTGTCCGAGCGAGTGAGCTCCTGGGGGGCAGATGGACCTGCCTCAACCTGCTGCCCATAGTCAGAGGGCAGGTGGCCCGCAGCGGGTGTGGCTGCAGGCAGCTGGAGTGCAGGCAGCTGGAGCAAAGCTGGCTGCGCTCTCGGCACCGGCGGAGTCAGTTACTCCTCCTAGAGGCTACAGTGCAGCCCCAGCCTGAGTGGATGTGGTGACGTGGTCATTTTGGCTCAGCATGTTTGTCCCCTCATTTCCCTCATGTCAAAGCTCAGGACACAGTCTCCCATCTCCACCTGTCGTTCTCGGACATTCAACACCATCAGGGGCAGAGTCAGAAGTGACTGACCAGTGTGCACTCCAAGTTGGGAATCCTGTGACCGTGGGGCTCCTTCTCTAGCTTCTGTGAGCCCTTTGTGCGATGACAGGGACAGGAGGGCCGCCAGGAAGGCCCAGATGGAGATAGGAGTTCTGGATCTCTTCCTCTTTCTGTTACTGACCTGGTGACCCGCCGCTTGGGCTGGGTCTACATGGGGGGACCCAGAGGAAGGGGTGGAGCTGAGCCCCTGACCCCCTGCCCTGGTGGAGGCTGGGCCGAGCCTCAGGGGCGGCCAGCAGTGCGTAGGAGGGGCAGTTGGGCCAGCGGCCCTCCTAGCAGGTGTCCAGGCAGCAGGATGGGAGGTGAGTCACCTCACCACCACCCACCATGGGGTCCGTCCCCGTGAAAGCAGGGACTGTGCAGAGAGAGCCGTCCCCGCATCCCCCTCCCCACGTCCCCTTCCTCTCGCCTGCGGGTCTTGCTCTTACTGGGGTGATTGCACTGCAGCTGCTTCAGGTGTCAGTCAACTGCTGAGATTATCTTGTGCAGGATCCTAGTGACCCAAGGATGTCTGGCGTCTTGCTCTGTGGTCCCTGCCAGTCTTGGGTGGCTGGTCCGGCCCGCACACAGGAAATGCTTCTCTCTCCACACAGGTCTCGGTGTCCCTCAGCAGCAGCTCCATCCGGGTGGCCGTGCTGGAAGGCCAAGGGGAGCGGGTCCTCATGGAGGGGAAGTTCACCCACAAGGTCAACACCGAGAGCTCCCTGTGGAGCCTGGAGCCCGGCAAGTGTGTGCTGGTGAGTGTGGTGTGGCGCCCGAGTCCACACCCGGCCCTGGGAGCTGCAGGGTCTGTGTGCCCCCAATTTGGTCCCTTGCTAGGGACATGTGGGGTCACGTACCTGGATGACCTGAGGCTCATGAGCACGTTGCTTTGATGTGCAAAGACCCCGGTGGGTGTCAGGGTGGTTTGTGACAAGGGGTGGCGCCCACTCCCTCAGCCTCTGGCAGAGGAGGGTGCTGGTGCCGCTGGGGACGCCAGGCCTGGCTCAGGTTTTCATTGGTGCTGGGCAGGGCCTCCCCCTCATCCTCGGTCAGTTGGTCCCAAGCACCTCACTCAGTGCCAGGTCCTGGGGTGAGTCGGGAGGAAAAGGGCCCCAAGTGTCCTCACCAGACCCTGGGACCAGTGGGGGGGATTTGGGGACAGGGTGTTTGCAGGTGTGGTGAGGGTCCTGAGATGGAGAGGTCATCCTGGGTTGTGCAGTGGCAGGAGTCCTCGGAGGGAGGAAGAGGGAGAACGGCAGGAACAGAGAAGACACAGACTCTGGAGGAGCGAAGTGACATCGGAGCAGGGAGGGGGGACTTGGGGCCACACTTGCGTCCCCTGGAACCTTCAGAGGCCGCTGAAAAGACATAGTCTGAAACCCTGTGTACCTCTGAGCTCTGCAGTGGTAGCTCTGGGACAGCAGGGCCTGTGGGGACAAGATGGTGGTGGCTCCAGGGACTCTGTGCTCTCCCGGCACCCGATTGAGGCCGCCCGCCCCCCAGGCACCCGCCTCCGGAGCTGAGGACCTGCATCAGCCTGCCAGGCAGGGGGTGGCAGCTAAAACCAATGACAGTTTCTGCCTCCCTCCCTCCCACACATGGGAATGTTAACGAGGCTGCTTGGTTCCCGGGTGCCTGCTTGGTCACGGAGCCACCCAGGCCATACTCACCCAGGCCCTGAGTCAGTGTCCTGGTGCCCCTCCACGCAGGGCCACCAGCCTCACTGCCCTGGGTGCTGCGGGATGCCCGGCCATGGTGTGTTTGCCGGCCTGGCCCAAGCCGTCCCCCTGGGCGGTGCCATGGGGCTGGGTGCGGGGTGCTTTTCCTGACCAGTGGGTGAGTCGTGTACGGTGGTCAAGGAGCTGGAGAGGTCTGACCAGGGATTAGCAGGTCAGGGTGCTGGGCGTCAGGGTCCCAGCAGGCAGGAGCAGGAACGGTTGTGGTGGGGGTGTGGGTGGCACACAGGGATGCTGTGACTGGTGGGGACATGGTGTGGGTGTCGGGCAGCCTGGAGCTCATGGGAGCGTCCTCTCAGGCCAGAGTGGGCTGGGTGCTGGGGTCCAGGGGTGTGAGTGGAGACAGAGTGGTGCCCTCTGCGAGGACCCGGGGACAGGGACCTGGGGCCCGGACGGCAGCCCTGTGCCTCACCCCGTGGCAGGTGAGTCTGAACAAGGTGGGCGAGTACTGGTGGAGCGCCGTGCTGGAGGGCGAGGAGCAGATCGACATCGAGCAGATCAACAAGGAGCGCTCCATGGCCACGGTGGACGAGGAGGAGCACGCCGTGCTGGACAGGCTCACCTTTGACTATCGCCAGAAGCTGCAGGGGAAGCCGCAGAGCCACGAGCTGGTACGGTGGCGAGGCCATGCGCGTGGGGGGTGGAGGCGGCGGAAAACCTTGTTGCGGGGCATGGCCACTCCCTGGGTCCTGACTGCAGCAGCTCCAGTCTGGTCAGTTGGTCAGCTGGTCACTGCCCAAACACAGAGCTCAGGTGGCAGGGCAGAGACACGGTCATCCATACGGACCTGGTCATAGTGCATGTGTCCCAGCTCTGCACCAGCTGGAGGGAGGGTGCCAGGCCCAACCTGGCCACAGGGCCAGTGGCTGGAAGTCCTTCTAACCCCTTCTCAGTCATCCAGGAGGAACATGCCTGCCTGGCCCGAGGCTGTGGGGAGGCACAGAGCCCAGGGGCAGAGGAAAGGATGAGTTTAGACGGGCACAGTTGTCCCCTCATCCATGGGGACCCCAAGGACCCTGAGGACCCCGAGGGTCCAGGACCCCGAGGGAGTGCCTGGGACCACAGGCAATGCCAAGCCTCCTCCTCTGCTGCTTTCTCCCCCACGGGCCCTCCCACTGAAGGTGTGCTTTCTGGGTCTGCACCCGCACCCGCATCCCTGAGCACCAGCCTCACTGCCCTTGCACTTGGGCTTCAGGAAGGGCCGTCTAGGTGACCTGGACGAGAGCACGGTGGCACTGTCACCGTCAGTCTGATGCCTGAGATGACTGCTGAGTCACTAAGGTGCAGCAGCGCCCACAGCGGGGGGATGCAGGATGGGGGCCAGGTCCGGTCCTCTGCAGGATGAAGCTGGGTATTGAGAGGTCTCCTCACGCTCCTCAGAGCAGCACGCAGTCTCAGACACACGGGCTCTGAGCCCGTGAACTGGCCCACTTAACGTTTTCAGACTGTGGTCAGTCACGGGAGGCAGACCACAGGTCGTGAGGTCTCCGGTCATGGATGTCTGCAGGTCTCCCTCCTGCTCTGACAACTCCGAGTGGGTTTGGGGGGAAGAGTTGCTTTTCTCAGGCCCGAGTAGCTGCCAGGTCCCGTGTGAGCAGTGCAGGAGGTGGCCGTAGTCCGTCGTGCACGGGTGTCCAACTCAGGCCCCTCCCCCAGCGCCGTTCATGTCCTTGGGGTCCTGTGGGCGTCTGGGGCCCTAACTGCTTCAGGGAGTGCCTAGGACCCCCTGCCATGGCCTGTTGGTTTGTCTGTTCATCTGTCCGCTGTGTCCTCACTTCACACAGGCGGGGTGGGGCTGCCCGGGTCGGACTCTGCAGCGCCCGAAGACATGTGAGCTCACTGGCGGTTTGGCAGCAGGGGTGGGGCTGCACCCAGAGCTGGTCTGTCCTCTGTCCTCCCTCCACGGGTCTGGCTCTGACCTGCTGAGGCTGATGGTGGGGCCAGGCCTGAGACCACCCGTCAGGGAGGGTCGAGGCATCTGCCGGCCGTGTCTGTGGATGGTGGCCCCTGGCTCTCAGTGCCGAGCTCTCCTCTCTCTCTGGGGCAGCAGTTCTCACCCAGGCACCCTGTGGCCACTGGACGTGGAGCCACCCGATGGCTGGGCCAATGGGATAGGCCTCGTGCCGCTACTGGGGTGCTACTGTCTCCACCTAGGGGTGGGCAGACCCTGAGTTGTGAGGCCACATGGGGAGGAGGAGCAGCAGGGTCCCCAGTGACAGGCCTAGGGACAGATGACCCGTTGGGAAGGACGTGATAATGAGCCTGGGAGGGGCTGCTGTGGTTGGGGGGCAGGGACCCTGGAGACATGCCATGTGTTGGCCACAAGCTGATCTGAGGGGACACACAGGAGCCCAGGGCTGGCCGTGCATGAGGCAGGACCCAGGTAACCCCTTGCCTGTCCAGCCTGCTCTTGGGTGGCCAGGTTCTGCAGTCCAGGGTGCTTTGCTGGAGATGGTACAGGGTGGGCGTCTCAGGGCTGTGGTAACTCAGGTGGGATGCAGAGCCCATGGGAAAGCCCAGGAAGGTGGCAGGAGCTGGAGGAACAAGGGTGCAGGGGGACAGACACCCCCCCACACACACACACACTGTCAGGGAGTTGCCATGGGTGGGGCTGGTCTGTCCCTGCAGTGGCCACGCCCCTGACCCGTGTGCACTGTGTCCATGATGTCCTATGGCCCTGACACCTCTGCATTTCTTGTGGTCACAAGTGAGGGGAGGTGGCCCCAGCCCACTCTGTTCACAGGGAGACGCCTCCCTCTTAGACACAGTGTCCCACAGTCCCCCAGCCCAGGCCACGTGGCCTGGCCTGCTACTGCCCTGGACACTGGGCTTCCTGGATGGGCTGAGTCGTGGCCTAGGTCACCGGTCACCCCGGGTTATCTGAGGGTGCAGTCCATGATGCCACCAGCCACTTCCCTCAGAAAAGGGAGCAGGGACCTCCTGTACCTCAGCCTGCTCCATGGGTGACAGCCTTCAGGCCCCTGTTGTTGGGACAGACTGCAGGTGACAGGCAGCCCCAGCACTGGGAGGACAGCCCCAGGGGCGGGAGCCTAGTGTGGGGAGCATGGCCTCATGGAGGGTGCAGCCACCCCGTGGGTCCTCTGGAGGCGACAGCAGAGTGCATCCTGCTGGGGCACGTGTGGGCCTGGAGGCCGAGGCTAACCCCCTGTCTGTTTTCTGTTGTAGAAAGTCCACGAGATGCTGAAGAAGGGGTGGGACGCAGAAGGCTCTCCCTTCCGCGGCCAGAGGTTCGACCCGGCCATGTTCAACATCTCCCCGGGGGCCGTGCAGTTCTAGTGCCCAGGAGAGGGTGCTCTGGCCGGGCCCCTCCTGTGGGGGACTCGCAGACCCCTGGCCCCACCCTGCCCTGCATCTCAAGACTGTTCCAGAGCAGGGCGGGGCTGCGCCAAGGGGGATGCTGGCCAGCGTGGGACTTCCCCCATGGGCAGCACCGGCCCTGCTGGCCCCCTACTCCCCGCCTCGCTCGCCGCTGACCTGTAGCTCTGCTTGTTCTTCTTATGCTGGGGGAGGCAGGTGTGGGGGAAGTGGATGTGCAGGGTGGGCCAAGCAGTTTGGGGGGCACCCAGCCTCCCTCTCTGGGCACATTCAACGCAGTCCCGTCCACTTGCTCGTGAGTGACTGCTGCCTCAGTGCCAGGACCACATTCCCCAGGGATGTGGACACAGCAGGACCTCTGGCCAGGCTGCCCTGTTCCACTTGACCCAGCACTCTCCTCCAATGGGACTCCATTCTTGCCCACATGAGCCACGCCAGCCCCTCAGGACCAGATGTGTCAGCAGTCTGCTCCCAGTGCACTCTGGACTGAGCCCATCGCCAGGACGTGGTCCCACAAACGAACTGGGGGACAGGGAACCTGTCGGGAGGTGGTCCTTCTAGAGACTTCCTCCTCAGTGGCGTGCGTGCATGGGAGCTCGTTTGTTGCTGCTCTTTCTGCTCGAAGTGTCTCCCTGGGGGCCTGGGGGCCTGTGATGCCGTCATGGGGGCATAGATGCTAGCTGAGGGCTGTGCCGCCTGAGGTGAGAGCCTTTACTGAGACTGTCCTCAAAGCTGGTCCTGGGCCTGCTGAGACTCCACCACAGGCCTCTAGGTCTTGTGTCGCCTGCGTGACAGCCACTCTCCATGTGTCTATCTCCATGTCCTTCATATCTCTCCTGCCCCCCTGGGGGTCTTGGAGTGACCAGATGGGGTGTCGTACCTGCGTCTCGGGGCTAGGGAGGCTGGAACCCAGGACTCTGGCCAGCCGTCTTTGGCCTGATTTCATTTTGGCGTCATGTCTCTACCTGCCCCTGCAGGCTGTGACGGTGTCTGGGCAGCGCCGGTCCCACAAGGCTGATAGCAGCAGGTCATCTGGTGGGCAACCTCTGCTCCTCAGCGCCCTGGACTTGCTGCTCCTGCCTGTTTTCTCTCTGCAGACTCGGCTGCAGCAGACAGGCCGCTGACTCCCGGCGCGGCCCCAGGACAGGAAGCCACCGTCCACAGCGTGGGGCTGCAATAAATCTGTATTTAAGCACTTGGCATCTGCGTGACTTTGCTCCCAAGGCTGGTCTCCCTGTGCCCACCCCTAGTGCCAGCGCCCCCGCCCAGGGGCCTGGCCAGCCCCGTGTCCTGTACCCCAGCCAGTGCAGCTCAGTCTGCTCGGTTCTTCTCGCCTGCAGCCAGGGTGGCTGCAGACTCTCCTGCCTGTCCCAGTGGTCACACTCTGCGGGCATTCCTTCATAAACATCTGGGTAACAACTGAAGATGCTCCCAGGGTCAGACGTGAGGGCGCTGGGGTTGGGGCAGCTGCCAGGAGTGCCCCTCGGCTGTTGTGCCCAGGCCAGCTGCTGTCCTGAGAAGACTAGGCTAGGCTGTCTCAGCCCAGGCCCACCTGGGGCATGGCCCACTGTGAGCGGGGCTATGGGGCAGAGCCCACCCAGCCCTGGACACTGGCCCTTGTGGGACCTGGGTGGTCCCTGAACATCAGGCCAGGTAACTCAGCAGCAACACGGGTGCCTGTCCCGTCCATACATCCTGTCAGGCTGGGCCTGTCCTGGGCCTTGTTTTGTTCTTCCTTGGTTTTGTCTCCGCGACCCAGGCCTGAACACAGCAGCTGGCCTTCAGGGGCAGATGGCTCCTCACTCAATACCCTGCTTGGCCTAGGCCAGCAGCTGCTGCCTGCTGGGGGGCTCTTGGGAGAGGCTGGGCCCCCCGGCTGGTCCTGCTGGTGCTGAGGGGCTGGCGGAGGGGACCTCTACCTCATGGGATGGGGTCCTCTGGAAGCCAGCCAGGTCATGACCTTCTGGACATAGCAGTGTCCCCTGGTTGCCCTGGAGACAAGAGTGCTTGGCCTATGGGGTGTGCCCCTCAATGGGGGTTATAGAGGTTCTAGGGGTAACAGGCTGGGGAGGGGCTGGGGAACAGGGGTCAGGCTCCAGATGGGCAGCTGCCCACAGCCCAGGAGGGGGGCTGTCCTCCCACAGAGGGGAGCTGCCCAGTCCTGTAGCTCTGCGCGCCGTGTCCTGGGAATTCCGGTGAAGGCCCCCTTATGTGTAGCTAGGAGTGTGGCCTGGGCCCCCTGACTCGCATGGTGGGTTTGTGTGACTCCCGTGGTGATGACTCTGCAGGCCTCCCTCCAGGAGCCAGACCAAGTCTGGGACCGTCAGCCCTTGGCCCCTGACCCCATCCACTCCAGGACCCTCCTGCAGGGGCCCCACCCTGGAGGACCTCGGGCCAGCCCCTCCCCTGCCCCTTGTTGGTAGGAGGATGACTTGGTATCAGTGCCTCCAGGAAGCTCACCCCCCTTTACAGCTGTTTATTGTGGCAAAACACACAACAGAAGGCACCACCCTGCCCTGGCCAAGTGGCTCCAAGGGTCTGTGGCATCCCCATGTGCCAAGGCTTCGGGTCCGTTCTCAGGTCGGCGCGCATGAGGGAGTCAGCCAGCGACCCATCAGTGAGCGGACAACAAACCCGTGTCTTTCGCCCTCTCCCCTCTTTGTGCCTCTAAAACACTTGTTTTAAGAACTGCCTTTGAAAGGAGTCTGCCAGCCTAACCGCTGCTGAGCGTGCAGCTGCCTGACAGCGTGGGCCCCCGCATCTGCGGCCTTCCCCACGTCTGCCTGCAGGGCACGTTCAGATCCCCAGGGTGAGACTCGTACCTGTTAAGTAGCATTTGATGCTTTGCCTTGAAAACGCACTGCAGCACTGGGGGTCTAGGCTGACATCCCTGTCACATCCCTAGGCGGGTGCCCTGGGACACGCCCTGCAGGGGGTGGTGTCCCTCCAATTAGCCATGGCCCTTCTGGACTGACCGGAACTGGAGGTGGTGCCGGGAACCAGAGGTTCCTGACAGACAGCAGGCCTGGCCACCGGCTGTGGAGAAGGGCTGGTGCCTTGGGTGGGGGGACAGCCCAGGAGGGGTCCAAAGACGGAGTATGCAGGGCCAGGGAAAGGGCCCTGGACTCCGAGCTAAAGGCTGTGGTTAGTGGGCGGCATGGAGGGCCTCCCAGGGCTGTGGTATTCAGGACCCTGAGGGAGGGCTGGGCCATAGCGGTTGGGGGGCCCCGGAGCCCCCTTCCCTCTCGGTCTCACCTCGCATTAGCCCTGTCTGCCCAGGACCCGCCAGGGCAAAGGTGTGGGGCGTGGCGGGGTGGTGGGTGCTGTCACCTGCACAGTGCAGATGTGACTCAGGGAGGTAGCCTGAGGTGAGTCTATCCTGGGTCCCCAGTGTTGTCACCAGAGTCCAGGTCAGAGGGCAGGTGGGCTGGAGCCAGAGCTTGAGCCGAATGCTTTGGAGCTGGAGGAGGGGCAGCGAGCCAAGGAGAGAGGTGGTGGCTCTGGAAGCTGGAACCAGCAAGAAGTGGGTTGTGCCCTAGATTCCAGACTTCTGATCTCCAGGACAATGGAGGGTAGTGGGTTGTCCTCAGCCACCAAGTTGGTGGCACCTGCTCTGGGCAGTGGGTGTGGCCTCAGGGGTTGGGGTGGTCCCCTGGTGGAGGGCTGTCCCTTGCAGCTGTCACCTCTGCTCTGGACCCAGTCTCTCCCAGCAACACTCCCAGGTGCACTAGCCAACCTGAGGTCACCCTGCCCGTCCCTCTCTCCTTGTGTGGCCTTGGTGAGGGCAGAGCTCAATTGCAAATTCAAGCTCTGTCCAGGCAGGAAAGATGAACCGTTGCCAGGGTTCCAAAGAGTCTGAGGGCCCGGAGTGTTGATGGGTGGGCCAGGTGACCGGACAGGGCGAGCAGAGCCTGCGCAGGAGGTTGAGGGGATTCTCAAGGGGCCCAGCAGGGACAGCCCATCCTGTCCTCCTGCTGGTGCCCTGCCCCCAGGCAGGCAGGAGCCTGATGTCATCCCCGTGGCTTAGCACACAGCGGGGCTGACTTCCACTTTGGACAAACAATTCCAGACACGTCTCTGGCACTGAGTTTTAACTTCTTTAGAACTAAGAAGAGTCAGGGAAGCTGTGAAAAGTGCCCCTTGCACCCACAGCCTGACGTCGGACCAGGGGACATGTGGGTCAGTCCACAGACATCACAGCCCTTGGTGTACACCTCTGGGTACACGTGCACTGCAGTGGGACTGCCCTGCATGGAGCTCCCTGCTGGGCCCCTAGCGGCTCTCCAAGTCCCTCACCCTGTTCCCGACTCTGGGATCACCATCTGCTCTCCGTCCACAGTCACGATGCCCCACGAGTGCTGTGCAAATGAGCCATGTGTTTCCACTCCTCGCGCTGTGCTCGAGGCTTGTCCGTGGCCGCATGCTCAGTAGTTCGCCTTGTCTGTGGGTGAGCATGTGCCAGTCTGTTTCACTGTCCACCGGCGAAGAACATGTGGAGAGTGCCCACTCCTTGCCGTTGCTGACAGCGCTGCGGTGACTGGCCGGGTGCCTGTGGTGTGAGTGAGCTACGTCTGCTTTCTGGGGACGAAACCCCACGGGCGTGCTTGTTGGCTGGTCTGTGTCCTGCGTGTTGAACTTGGTCACAAACTGCCAAGCTGGTCTCTGGAGGGGCTGCAGGCTTTCCCGACCACGAGCAGGGGAGGGGCCAGGGGCCTGGAATGCTGGCGGTGTCTCATGTCCCTGCCCTAAAACTCTGCATGTTGGGTCATGCTGGGTGGGACAAAGGAGGCCGTGGGCCCTACATGGGATTATCTAGGCTGATCTGGAGGGCCCTGGGGTTGTGCTGGAAGTGGGGGCAGAGCTTAGTGTTTGAGCGGTGTCCTGTGAGGATGGCCCTGCCACCAGAAAGTGGAAAGGCAGGAAAGGGGTCATTCTGCCCAGACCTGCGGCCCTGACCCTGACCGTTGCCCCTCGGGTGGGCGGCCCAGGCTCTGACCCCCGTGCAGGAGACAGTAACTGCTCCTTCAAGCCTCCAAGTGTGCGGCGGTTTGTCAGAGCTGCAGGAAATGCCCTTAGCATTTTGCTCTTCAACTGTTCTCGCCTGTGGGGTTTAGTCTGCATTTCTGCAGCCTACGGGACAGCCTCCTCGTGCACATTTCCGCCCGGTTTCTAATATCAAAGCCACAACGCCATGTCCCCTTGTCCCCTAGAACCTGCCAGAGTGGTTGTTACCAATGAGTCAACAGACAAGGGCTGGAAGGGGCCCGTGCACTGCGGATGGGATGCGGGCTGGTGCAGTCTCTGGGGAAAGCAGTGTGGAGGTTCCTCAGAAAACTGAAAGTGGGCCCGCCTTACCACCCAGGGATCCCACTTTGGGGAGCTTACCTGAAGAAAATGAAAACACGAATTTCAGAAGACCTACGCGCCCCGGGTTCGCTGCTGCATTATTTACAATCGACAAGAAGATAGAAGCAACCCCAGCGCCCCTGACAGATCAAGGGACTGATTGTTTCTACGTGCAGTTTGAATGTTTTTACATGTCCCAGATAAAAGGCCTTTGTTGGGTCTGTGATCGCCAGTATTTTCTTCTAGTTTGTAATTTATTTTCATCCTTTAAAACAGTCTTTTATCCTGGCTGCTGTGGCTCAGTGGACTGAGCACCGGCCTGCAAACCCAACGGTTGCCGGTTCAATTCCCAGTCAGGGCCCATGCCTGGGTTGCAGGCCAGGTCCCCAGTAGGGGGTGTGTGAGAGGAAACCACACATCAATGTTTGTCTCTCTCTCGTTATCCCTCCCTTACTATCTCTAAAAGTAAATAAATAAAATATTTAAAAAAAATAATAAAATAGTTTCATAGCAAAACTTCTTGATGTCAGTGAGGATACATTTATTTTTCTTTTGTGAATTATGCTTTTCACATCAAGTCTAAAAAACCTAGTTCTAAATCTTAAAGATTTTCTTGAATTTCTTTTCTGGAAGTTCTAGAGTTTAGGCTTTACGTTGAAGCTGGGGGTCCATTTGCAGGATTTCGTCCTGTGGGGTTTTTTACGGGCTGCCCTTCGGAGTGAGTGCAGGTGCTTCTGTCCTGGGCCCTCCCAGGACTTCCTCTGCCCAGAGCAGGCGAGGTGCGGGGTGGGGCCGGGGGCTTGTTCCGTGATGACAGCTTCAGCTCTCACTGTCAGTGTTCTTTCTGCA